TTGACTATTGTGTGGAAAGTATATTTAATAACGATGATTTTAGTATATGCTACACACAAATTGAATGAAAATTGTGAATGCAGTAACCAAATGTTTCATTGCAACCGAAGGTGTGACACGATGAGAACGCGAAAAATGACCCCGTTTTTTATCGTTTCATGTGATTTTTTCGTATTATTTTTGCTTCTATTACGATAAAATTTATTTTGTATGTAGCTAAATAGATATTTTATCATCTGATTTTAAAGGTATTGTTCTAACTTATACCGTTTATGAACTATAATTGTGTGACCATCAAATTTGAGTGTAAATGAGAAGTACCCTTTTAATACTTTAATTACGATATTATAGTGGCAGCAGCGTTGTACTTTAATCAGTAATAAGAAATAATCATTCCGCTCTTGGTTGCCACCTAAAAGTCAAATTTTAGTTAAGGTTAGGTTGTCAACGTAACAACATTGCGTGCCACTATTAGGTAGGTATCAAACCGACGACATCATAAAGGTGGCGGGAAGGCGCTGGACGCAGGCCGCTACCAACCGGGCAGCATGGAAAGCATTGGGGGAGGCCTAGTTCAGCAGTGGACGTCCTATGGCTGAGATGATGATGATGATAATTAGGTAGGTAATCATGATTAGTTACTTATTGAATACTTACTTAGTAATTTTATCTCTTACATTAGGACGTTGCATTAGTTGCAAAATGTTAGGTAACCACTTAGTTATTTATCTGAAATTATTTTCTATCTTTTCAAATTCAGAATTAATAGCGCTGGTCATTAGATCAGAAAAATTATCTAACGGAGTTTGTGTTCTGAATTCAAAAAAACTGCATTTCATATTACAAACGATTAATATTACATCATTATTCATTATTTATGTTCCAATATCTGTATCAGCTGCTTTATTAAGTCAATTTTATAAACTCCAATTTGCTAAGCATAAGGATCAGAACTAGCCAAATGTTGTGGAAAAGAATTGTTAAAAAACAGCGATCTTCAGCCCGATAATTAAGGAAGTGTGGAATCATTGGGAAAAAATATTCGCCTTACCTGAGCTATCAAATTTGTGTGTACAGGTGGGTCCGATTTTGATAGGCCTTGTTTTACGGAGAACAAATAAGTTGTGATATCCGAATCATACGTGCTTTTTTGATACATTTTAGTAACAAAATAATAAGTTGTCTTAATTTTGCTGCTTAAACCAACTAAATGATTTCGCTTGTATCTAGTAGCAGAGTAGGTATGAGTTGAAATATTCGGTACTGTGGTCATATTAACTATGGTTTAAGCACCATAGCTGTTTGACAATTCTCAAGACGTACTAAATACTCGATACCGGTCAATCAGGTTGATTCAGGTATATACTTATGTCTTTCTTTATCTGACCGGAAACATACATATAAAAAGTTTTTACAGTGATTCATAGAAATCGAATCGAATGTAAGGCGTTGGTGATATCAAAATTAGAGATAGGTACAATCTAACCAAATGACTTCTTTAACACCTAGTCGACGTAGCATATTTTCTTGTTGATACAATTTTTTTCAAACACTCTGTAGAGCAGCGAACCTACGTCACATACGTGGAGCGAATATATCCGATATTGTGATCCGTAAAAAACGAACCCCCAACTATTTCACCACTCGAAAGAAATTGTCATAAAAAATCCGATTTCGCAGATGTTGGTTTTATAAATTTCTTGCACGTGTTTTGTGTTTTTTCTGAGTTATGCCCTTTTTTCTCGCGTGCCGTGCGGTATCATGTTCCTTTATGAGACTAAAAACGCTTAATTAGGAATAAATTGTGGTATGAAATTGCAGCTGTCAAACTTGGCGAAATTAGTTCGTTCCGCTTAGAATTAACTAAAACTTAAGCATTTTTACTATTTCTTGTTCAGAATAAAAAAATATTTAAAGACCTGTAACAAGTAAAAAAATAAATAATGTTGTGAGGATTATACCAAGCGAGACTTCCAAATTGAATGAGACATTGTGTTTTTGTCTCCATATAGGTATTCATACTTAATAATTTGTAATAATTCCCCAGTTTTTAGGGCTCATTAATAAAAATGATTGATTTTTTTTAAATAATTTATTAGAGTTAACAATATTTTGCACGAGCTATTTTAAGTCCGTAGAAAAGATAATAAATAGAAAGAAATAAACATCTTATAATTTTTCCAATAGAAGGTTTTTGATTTGAACCCAAGATTTTCCCAGTGACATTTTAAATATTATCCAATTGTAAGCAATTTTATAACTAGTATAAATATTTAGCATTTGACAAAGTTTGTTGTATTGATCGAACACAAACCTGTGCGCAGGCGCATGTAACCAAAAGCTGAAGAAGCGCCATCTAGCGAACGTCGTCCAAATTAACTGATCGCAAGCTCGATCCCATCGAAAGAATGACGCAAACTCTGCCTTGTTCGCTTATTTGAAACTAGATGGCACTAAACACAATGACTTCAAACTCACAGCCATTATAATTTATTCTCCTCGAATCAACTCATAATACAAATCAACAAAATTAGCATTAGCATCAGGTTGCCTTCTACAGTTGAAATCATTCGATATAACACAAACTGGAGTTCTTCCGTCGTATCCAACGCCGTTGTAGTTTATTCCGAATTTTTTGACTTCATCGAGAATATCTCTCAGACAGGCACACTGCCAAGGATTCTGGTTAAAATAAAATTTTGTCATGCCTCCGCCTGAATTTCTAAGCTCCAAGCAGAAATTATCAGTCAAATATGTAAATCTGTTAACAGACAAATTGAGATTCTTCACAGGAGATCCTCTAAATGCATTCACTGGCACAAATTCTATTAAGTTGTGTGATAAATCAACACTTATTAGTTTTGGTAGATGCTGAAATAATGAATCTGGGATCTGAGTCAGTTTATTTCCTCTCAGTAAAACAGATTTCAGTTTTTTTAGCGACATAAAAACTTTATCGGCGATGTGTTCTATAGCATTATCGACAAGATTTAATATTTCTAAGTTTTCTAGGTTAATAAAAAGAGCTCTATCGTCAAGCCTTGTTATCTTATTCGTAGATAGTATCAAATGTTTCGTCGTCTTCAAATTAGGTTTCGTGGCAAACGCTGGTACCTCTGTTAATAGACACCTGTCTAAATTGAGAAACTCTAACATCTCAAAGGCATCCAGTAGAATCGATTTCGAATCTGACATGTCATTTCTCGAAAAGTCCATAATTTTTATTTTTGTACTCTGATCAAAAATGTAGGAATTTATCTCTTTGCCCAGCAAAGCGTTACTGGATACATCCACGTGCCTTAACTTTTTCATAAGATCGAATATCCCTAGTTCTAATTCAGTTATCTTATTTCCTTTCAAATCTAGTACTTCCATATTAGGTTTCTGATCGAAAATTCCAAGAGGGAAACCTGTAAGCTGGTTGTGGGAGAGGTTAAAAAACTTGAGCTGTGTGAATTCATCCAAAACTCCAAGTTTGAGGTACACAATTTTGTTCTGTGATAAGTCCAAGTATTCTAGAGCTGGCAGACCGGAGAATGACCCAAAATCTACATCGGTGATTCTGCACGCTCTGAGGGTAATTCTTGTCGTTCTATTGTTATCTGAGATAAGTCCTCTTTCTAGGAGGTAATCGCTGGTTCCTGGAGTGCATACGATGTCCCTCGGATTGTCTGCACTGGCTTGGCAGGAAGGAATCGCTGCAACCACCAGCAATTCTGCCGTCAGGCTGGTCAGTAGGCAGAATAATATCAAGCACAGCATTGTTATCGACGTATACCTGAAATCCAAAATCATACTGTTAAGTTATAGTCAATAATTGTAAATGATAGTAAAGAGATTTTGCAAATGCTGCCTTACTATTTACAAAATTTGCCTTCCTTGGCTTTTACCTAAACCACGGAGAATGAAATATCAAACAACACATCAAAGTAAGCTATTTTTCTGTCAAAACACAATCTAACTTCACAACAGGTTGAACTATGTATAACAATTTTTCTATGGATCGGATCCTTTTATTACAATTTTTATTATCAAAATGTATCATAAACATAAATACGGGGTGTTTAAAATTAATACTTCTAAATATAAATAGGAATTAGCGCTGCGACAATTATGATAGAAATAGCTAAATATAAAAAATAGCAAATTTTAGTGACGTTCAAATCTGACGTCATAATATTAGTATATGATTTACGGGATAATTAAATTTGCATCAAATGAGTTGTTATGAGCTAGAGAGATTATCTATAAGCTACTAAAATGAATGGGACATCCTGTTAATATAAGGTCAAAAAACATTAAACAATCTGGGTTATCAATTATTTCATTAAAATTTGTTATGACAGCTGCCTACCTAGTACATTTATCTCAATCACAATCTTATTCTTATTACTTTATTAATATTAATTTCGTCATATTTTGCCAAAAGTGTTTCAGTTACAGTTTTATTATCACTCACCAAAAGAGTTATAGAATATGCAAGAAATCCTGTAACTATTTTTGTAAAAAAAGAGCTACTTACGCTTTTGATAAATAAATACACTGTCACAAACACTGTTTTCTTTTGTTTTATTCCCCTACATGTCAAACATAACCTTTCTTTAATACTAACATAGACGACTAAATGTTTATCAAAGCTTATAAATATTGAATTTAAATAGGTTCCTATTGACTAAAAAAGAATCTTACCTTGATGTCAAACTTGAAACTAGTATTATTATCTGTGCTTGAACTTATTGTTTTTCTTAAATACCTACGAATATTAACACTACACTTTACTTTACCAGTAGGTACCACATTTTATTTGATTCTCTATTTTCAATCTATAAATATTAACTTTTAAATTTTAACAAAAACAGGCGACCAACTGTTTTAAACAAAAACAGGTGAAGCACTGTACGCTCGAAGCCGGTTTGGCTTCACAATAAGATGTCACAGACACTGACGAACAGCGATAAAAATATAGTCACTTGTAAATGGGTAATCAAAACAATTGATAAATTGCACATTCGAAGATTTAAGTCACTTTATTATGAAACCAATTATAATGAACACATCTACAGTCTTACAAGAGAATTTATCAACCTAATCAGATATTCAGTTTCTCACACATGTAAATTGCGGGCCACTCACGCACACAGCGTTATGTCCACTGTATTTGTCTCTATTATACACGAGTTGTAAGGCCTTAACCTCTTCAATAATATCCCTTAAGCACGCACACTGCCAGGGGTTGTGACTGAACAAGAACTTCGTCAGTCTACCTCCTTCGTTTATCAGCTGATGGCAAAAGTTTTCAGGCAAATAAGACAGCCTGTTCCCAGCCAAATTCAAATTTTTCATCGGAGAATTCTTGAATGGAGTCGTCTGAATCTTTTCTATGGCATTAAAACCTAGATCTACGTTTACCAACTTCGGCAGATTCTGGAACAACTTGTCCGGAATATTGATCAGCCTGTTACGTCTCAAATATATCGTTTTTACCTTCTTAAGGGGAGCAAATACATTCTCATGGACACTTTCAATGGCATTCCCGTTTAAATCCAATATTTCCAAATCGTCCAGGTTTACAAAAGTCGTGGGGCTATTGAGGTTACTTATTAAGTTGGTATTCAGTGACAAATGCTTCACTGTCTTTAGGTTTTCTCTTGTCGCAAATGAAGGCACTTCAGTTAAGAAACAGCGGTCGAGAATCAATACCTGCAGTGACTGTAGTCCACTTAATAGCATTTCTGATACTCCCGATAGATCATTTCTGGTCAAATTTAGGTGTGTCAATCGCTTTGTGCGTTCAAACATCCGAGGGTTTAACTGTGCCCCGTTTAACTCATTATTGGCCAAATTCAGTTCAGTCAGTTTTGACAAATTGTCGAAAGCTTCATGTGGAATTGTTTTCAGCTTATTTCCATTTAAGTGTAAAACTTCAATATCACCAACTGCATCCAAAGCGCCGGCAAATTGTTCTAATCTATTGTTTGACAGATTCAAGTGGGTCAGTTGGTCCAAGCCTTGGAAAATGCAAGGATGTAATGTTTGTATTCTATTTGCAGAAAGATCTAAAGATTTTAATGAGGGTAATCCAAAAAATGCTTTACATTTTAATAAAGATAGTCCACAGAATGTCAAGGATACTGATTCTGTAGCATTATTATCAGAAACTAGCCCTCTTTTCAGCTCAAAATCAGTGTCATTGTCGGATACACATAATAAATGATGATCTTTATGAAATGAGCAACTGGGAGTACCTTTAACACTGAGGAATATGCCTGCTAATGCCAAGTACCTCAATCCTTTCATCTTATTTACCTGAAAACAAAAAAAGAGTTATTATTATCTGTTATTTATATCTTTTAATTACTTAGGCCCTATTCGACCAAATTTTTATCCGATAATAACTCCTGATATAACTGGCACATTGACAGTTTCAGTATGGGAAATATGTCAAGACTGACGATTTATTCTGATATTAATATTTACTTACTCTTGTTTGGTTGAATCCAAGCTTAGTCTCACAATTTAGAATCTCTCAGGAGGAAATGTTTTTGTGACTTTGCCCGCGTGAATATCGATCTGCCAATAAAAGACGTTTTCGCGTATTCCCGTTTCAAAAACCGGTAAGTAGGTAGGATTATTTTATCTGGATCAAAAATTATCTCTAGATAACTTTATCTAAAATATCTTAAGGGAGACAAAGGTTTATAAAGAAAAACTATAGCACATCAAGCCACACACGGTGGTATCTTATCTCCTTGTAATCTAAATATATAAAAGGAGAAACTGACTGACTGACTGACAGATCAACGCACAGCCTAAACTGCTAAGCGTAGGCACTTGAAATTTGGAAGGGACGTAGCTTAGGTACCGTAGAGGTGCACTAAGAAAGGAATTCCCGAAATTCCCACGGGAACGGGAATTAGCGGGAAAAACGGGATTCACGCGTACGAAGTCGCGGGCGGCCGCTAGTACGGTATATTTTGCAACAAACTTGTACACCTATACGATGTCCTGTCCGTACATTTCACTGGCCGAATAAAAGCTGCAAGGTTTAAAAAGTTTAAAAATAACTTACTTGTTCGTTCCCGATACAACAGGCGTCGTCAACGGTCGCGCGGATAATGTGCCTTGAACCTATAACAGTCAGGTCCCTCCACCGATAGTGATATTAGTCACTGAGTAAACATCGCGATGGTTGATCCAGTCGAGAACTGCATTCGATATATTTTTTAAAATAATTATATTATAATATAATAAGTAATTAATATTGTACAAATTCTATAACATGTACTTTACTTACATACTCGTAAAAGCAAAAGCACACTTAATCAATTCAAAATTGATTACTAAAAAATATTTGACAGGCGATTTCTACGATCGACAAATGCATTTGAATTAGCCTGCTTCTTGACTGTCTCACTCATCAAGAAATCTTAGGAACTACAAGTGCTAGGAGTCACAAATTTTGCATGGGGGTTCCTTTTAGAACGTAGGTGCTCACTGCTCACTAAGACGGAATTTTGCAAAATTCAACCCCTAAGGGAGTAAAACGAGATCTACGCGTACGAAGGTAGCACAAGGTAGCACCAGTAGCACATTATGCTTTAACACAAAAAAATTAGCTGTCTAGGGGCGGCGCCGGGATTCTAACCAGCGTTCCTTGGATCTCTAAAGGTCGATGAGGTTAGGTAATGGAGTTTTGAGAGCTTCATATATTGATTAAATACGATCTTTCATAACTTTTGTACATTTATGATTAATTATGACTTTCGATTTGATTTGCTTGGTCTTAGATTTATTTTGATTACTGCGGTCAGTCTTTTACATAAATAGATGAAGTTAAACTAAATTCAAAAACATAGCCCGCAGAATCGCTAAAATCAAGTATCAGTGGGCTGGGCACATAGCTCGTAGAGCTGATGACCGCTGGGGCAGGAAAGTTTTTGAATGGCGACCACGAGCCGGAAGACGTAGCGTGGGCAGGCCTCCCTCTAGGTGGACCGACGATCTGGTGAAGGTCGCAGGAGGTGCCTGGATGCGAGCGGCGCAGGACCGGTCTTTTTGGAAATCCTTGGGGGAGGCCTTTGTCCAGCAGTGGACGTCTTTCGGCTGAAACGAACTAACCAACGAAACAAAATTCAATTGAATTTACCTATGACGCTTCTATCAGTGCTGAAATAAAACCAATTCGTAGACTTTATTCGTTGGGTTTTCCTCTTGGCAAGCTTTGTCATGAAGCCAAATAAATACTATTCATAACTTATTCATAACACTTATAAAAGGATAAGTTCACTTCATTGCGATAAAATGAATAAATGCTCATATTAAAAACTGGTGATCATATTTTGTAACAGCCTATGTTTCCATTTACTGTCGTATCCCTCATTTCTGTATAATATAAGTACCTAATAGCAAAAATAAGGTTTTAAAATCGTCATCTTTTATGCAAAAATCATTAATTATTACAGAATACACAGAAACAATGACGTCGTCATCTTTTAAGCAAAAAATCATTAATTCCAAAATACAATACAAATACAGAAACACTGACGTAACGCTGATAAGTATAACTAAGCCTAACATTACTCGACCTTGTACCTGCACTTTAATGTGGCTCGCTAATGACATCATTTCTCTTAGATTAAGACAAATATTTAAACTGGCATTAAACTTAACAAGGCAAACGGAATTCCTAACATTCTGCCTCCTACAGACGCCTACAGATTCACGCGTCAAAGTCAATAATAGATACTCGTATGCAATTAAGAGCCTTGACCAATAAAGCCTTTGAATTAGTCCGTATGGCTAAATCATGTGTCACACACAACAAGAAAAAATCTTTTAAAAGAAAAATTACGACGCATTTTGTATGTACCTTCTTAAAAACATTTAGTTATTTTATTCAATGGGATTGCTATGAATAGTTGATAACACATCAAACTGTACAGTTTTGTTCGAAAATAGCACTTATTATGTTATTATCACTGCTTAAGATGCCTGAGTGTTAAGCTTGCCGTGCCAACGTCTGTACAATCACTCGAGGGATGAGATGTTGTGATCTACTGGACAATTTTCCCAGAGGATACCTGTAAATCTATGACTTATGCCTTAAGGCTTGTATGATTTTGGAAACAGAAGATAACTATCAAATCACCAATCGTATAAAGAATGAAATAAAACTTCCAACAAAAAGCCAACATTTAATTTAGTACTGCAACTTTTTTTAATAATTTAAAATATTAATCATTAACGACCTTTTCAACCTGCGATTCATTCTTTTGCGATTGCTCATTTCTATTATCATTAACTTCGTCATCACTATTTTTCTTGTCAGACTCCAGCGAGTCATCCGTATTGAAATCTACTGAAGTATGCTTAGACACATCAATATTATTTTATTCCACATTATCCGTCACGTTCCTACTTATGTCCAGCTCACTTTTAAGTCGTTGTATGGCTTGGACAACCTCATTTTGAAAATTCATATTAATTTTGTAAAGTTGTTCCGAATGTTCCTTTTCGCGTCTCAATTCATTTCTCATGTGCGTGTCCTTGTATTTTTCAAATTCTGTCATTATCCTCACTTTAGATTCATAAGTGTGCTGAACCATCGAAACGAGTTTGAAAAGTTTTTCAATCACTTTTTCTTTAACTTCTTTCGAAATGTTCGGATCCGACTCGAGGTCAGTTTTCGCGTCAAGGGCTAGATCATTTGCTGATGAAGGAAAGCCTAGAAGTGATTTCGTACCGTTGGATCCATTTGTAGTTTTTGCTTGACTAACACTTTCAACAGGTGGTGATTTTTCTTTAGCAGACTTTGTAGTAAACGCTCCATGAGTCACGACCTCTGTAAACACGCCCGAACTTGGTTGATTTGACTTGTACTCAGCTGTTTTCTTGTTGACTTTCTGAATCAGGTCGTTTTGCTTCTCCTTCTGTTTTTCGAAGGGTGATTTTTGTAGTGTTTCTTCGTGCACGACTTTCGTGGTTTCGGGGGAGGATTCCTTGCTCTTGAAAGGGCTGCCGGTGCGTTTGTTGAAGTTGGTGACTGCGAGACGGGACATCTTTTTAAGTGGGGCGGATGTGGTGGTGGAAAATGGGTCACTGAACTGATTTTGTGGACGCAATTAGAGCTGCCCCGTGCGTTGTCGGAGGTAGACTGGCTCGCGTCGCAGTGGCAAGCGTCCTCAGCGGCCAAGTGTGGGTTTCGCTCCATACTTTTGGCGCGCCAGCGCTTCCTAGGCGTGGCGATGAATTAATTAAATAATTAGCGCCTCCGACCGACTGCAGTTTGCATTGAATTTTGTTGACGTTGACTCGCTGAGAATAATTAACAATGTTACGTCTGATCAAATGAAACATTCATTGTATCTCGGAGTAACGGATGATCGTTGATAATAATAACTTATGTATTTAGTTTGTAATTTGTTACTTAATAGGCATAATAAAATACACATACTTCTAGCCAATAACCAACAATGGACCTTGGGCATTTAAGGATAAAATAATTGATTATTTTATTTTAACTACATAGATCCCTTGCGTTCTTTGTTAGGTACTACAAATACATTAATAACACGACTACCTACCTAATAACTAATAATTTAAATTATACTTATTTTTTCATATTCATAAATAAATTAATTTATTTACTTAGATCACTGATGGCTTCATGACGTAAGTAGGTATTAGCGTGATGTGGGAATCTCTATAAAAGCTTGAGTACGATTCTCAGTTGAGTCAACTTAGGAAAATCATCTTTTCTTTTCTGATTAATTTAAGTGCATAATGTGGTTCAAGAACTTCATGTGAGTTGTATCGACCTAATAAGTAGGTACCTACATTCCATCTAGTTCGAGTTTTGAGTTTCATTCTAGGACCTAAGTAAAAAAGCAGTTGACTCTATCCTATGTTATAGACATTGGTAGATAGTATACTGCATAGAGTCAAGTAGGCTTTTACGATAGGTACATAAACTTACTTACTATAATATAATGCGGCGTTGCGCATAACCGTCGCGAGGGCAAACATAACCTTTGTAATATGCTTGTGTGGGCAGAGACTTATTTAAAATACAAATAAAACTTGTAAAAACATAATTATTGTTGTTTGTCAGTTAGTTGAATTTTTCCCTTTAAAAAATACGTAACATAGCTCATGAATTTGCAATTTCTGGAAGAATTTCTTCATCAAGTCTCTACTGCAAGAGCATGACAATCATTAAATTACCGGAGGCAAACAGAGGACTTGGTCTACAATCCCCACGCTGGGGAGTCATTTATAGGATCTTTAGCTGATAGCTTACACTTGGTTACTTAATCCTTTGTTTAGTCACCTGTCATCAGTTTTGCACTGGAGGCAAGTCGAACCATTAACTTCTAAAAACTCCTCTTACGTTCATCTGATTAATTTCGTTACGTATCCAATGACAGTTTAACTTTCCCCCGGGACAAACTTGACCTTCACTGGTTGGGTTTTTATTGGCGTTCAAGCTGTAGATCCTGGCTACACAGGAGTTGCAGCGGTGGGAACAAGAGGTGGGAATAGTTTCGTTGACCTACACTAGGCCAGCCACACCTAGAAGATTTTTAAAATGTAACACGAATTTAAAATCACTTTCACCGTTCGCGGAACCATTCGGACAGGAATGGTTAACTTATTTTGTATGCAATACGGATCCCCGGCGCTGGATCAATAATAATAGGAAATCGCCCGTTAACTATTTAACCAAGTTATTTGTGTCAATTAAGAAATTAATACCTGGTTGGCTGAGGTTTGCTTTAATATTTACTTACTAAAGAAGTATAGACAAAATATTTAAACAGACCACGCAGAACTTTAATGAAATTTAAATTCTAAAGAACAATCTATATTATAAAAGAAAGTCGTGTTAGTTACTCCACTTATAACTCAAGAACGGCTGAACCGATTTAGCTGAAAATTGTCAGGGAGGTAGTTTAGAGCCAGGAGAAGGACATAGGATACTTTTTATCCCGTTATTTATTGCCATTAAGGCGGAACAAAGTTCGCCGGGTCAGCTAGTNTTAAACATAAAATAATCTGACCACTATCCAGTCAATATGGATATTATGCTTATGTTCAGCAGTTGATGTCCTGTGGCTGAAATGATGAATCTGACCATATGTTGACCTTTAGAGCGCCTTAAATTAGAGGCATTCATCGTTTTTGTTAAATCTTTCTAAATTCTTTCATGCAAGTGGTAGTTACCATCTAATAAAATTGCAAAGCAACATCAGTGACATTAGAAATTAATTGAGAGAAACAATGTCACGGTCTTTATCGCATTATCTCTGGAGTGACAAGTTCAATGATAGCTCTGTAATGAAGATTATGTATGCGAGAGGCGCGTGCGCCGCGCCTGCTCCTCCATATAAATCACCTCACCGCTCAGCACAGGCCGTCCCTTTCACACCTAACCCGACACCTATACACAAGTAAGGGACAGAACAACTGGATCATACCTCTCCGAATCAGGGTACGGTGTCACAAACAACAGAAAAGGCGCTCAGTTCCAACACATTCTAAAACGTCAACAAAACTAACGGCGCTATTAGAACATACGCCATTCTTCACTCCAGCACTCAAAGAGGATCCGAATCAAATAGCTTTCCCTTACACTTAGATCCTGCTGATATCAAAACATCGTAACTGCAGCCAACGGCCGTACAGCTGACGACAATACGTGCCGGAACTTCATCGTACGTACTGAATTTGAAATAGCTGTATAAAAACCAGTGGGTCCTTGACGAAAGCATCACAAACTATCTAGCCTTCGTGTAGTGAACACCAGGACAGGGAAACAAAATGGTGTCCAGCAAAGTGGTGTGTTTGGTGGCTTTGGCCCTTTTCGGAAGTGCGGTGGCGCAGCCCTCGAAGCAGGCCTTCTGGAAGGGCACTCCCATGGACGGCATGGTCGAGGAGATGAGATCTGGCTGTGTCGAGGGATCTGACCCAACTGCGTGCATCAAATATAAGGTCATGTCTCTCTTGGACACCATTTTCAAAAAGGACACATTCCAGGTAAACGACGAAATCAATTCATACTTTTCAATATCTTAAAATAATTCTAACTTCAACTAATGTTTTCATTTCGCTTTCACAGATCTCAGAAGCCGTTGAAGTGACAAAGAATGGTGCTGGCAACGATGTCACCGGCCGTTCGTCTGGCGACTTCATGGACACCATCGAGAACTACATCCAGTCCCACGACGTGACCTTCCAACTGCCCATCGCCGACACCAAAGTCACCGTCAGCCCCAGAAACCTCGACAGCGATGAGCTGAGCCTCAACATCAAGTTCAACAAGGAAGGCGCGAGGTCCGTCGGCGAGGCCCGCAAGGCCAAGCTCAAGAAGATCATTGTCCCCATCCTGGTGTTCGTCCTCCTCAAGGCCATGACCCTCATCCCTCTGGCCCTCGGTGTCCTCGGTCTGAAGGCCTGGAACGCGCTGCAGCTGTCCTTCTTCTCTTTCGTCGTCTCCGTCGCCTTGGCCATCTTCCAGCTCTGCAAAAAGGTCAGTTGATTACATTTCACCTACTTTACATGTGAAACCCCTTCAGCACAAACAGCACAAATGATCCTCGATCCACAAAACACGCACCCTACACTCGACTTTAGCACAAAGTTCTCGGAGCACAGTAACTTTACTTTCGATTTAATTGACTAACCGTTTCGCAACTTAACTACCCATAGCCTAACATTGTAGTTTACCCAGATTGCGGCCGACAACTCCCACCCTCAGATCTCTGCGCACGGCCCGTGGGACGCCGCCTACGCCGCCACCCGCCGCCGGAGGGACGCCGAGCCCCAGGAGGAAGCCCAGGAACTCGCCTACAATGCCTACAACGCCAACTACTGAACCACGACCATCGACCCCCCGACCCGCTCAAAATGGCTGCCGTTCCAAATACAAAACTCAATCTGACAGCCACGAGATCGGATACCAAAACCAAATAGGTTTCACTCGGAAACCGCGACAGTGTAAATACTATGTAATTGAAACTTATTTATTTGAAATGCGCGAGTGAGTGTGATTGTGATGTATGAATGTTATTTATTTATGTTTCTAATAAATCATTGAGTTTAACTGACTCTTTTATTGAACCCCCATAAGTAAATACGACACATTCAGACAACAATAAAATTGGCGAAACAAGCAATATTTTGTTTTATTCAAACGATTTCATAAAAAATCAATTTGCAGTTAATGAAGTTAATTGAATTGAATTAAATTAGATACCTAAAGTAAATAGGTGTGTAAAAGAAGCTTTCACCGATATTGTACCAAGTAAAAAAGTTAAGATATGAAATGTATGAAAACTTGATTTTATATTCAACCACACATAAAAATAAGCTTTGATACAACTGCAAATATTACAATCATCATCAACATTTCATTATCTTTTCAATTGTAACCAATGACTGTATAATCGAATAAAACATTATTATTGATTTAGTTTTATTTTCTGAAACGTTCTCAAAAGTTTAGGGTCCATAAAATTTAACACCAAACCCAAGAAAAGAGAACCTAACGTAAAATGTAAAAAATGCTTTCGCTGAAATTAGTTTCAAAAGGAATCTATTGAAAAGTAATATAATATTTAAACCATTAAAAAGTACCTACTTTCTTCGCCTTATACGGATTGAATAAATTTCTAACTTAATAAGGATGATAATTGGCACCAAAGTGTTCCAAACTGTGATTGTAATTCTAGACGCAAAGCAATGTACTTTCTTCGGGAGAGAACGGTACGTGATTGCAAAAACTAATGCTCAGCCTTTGGCCAGCATTGAGTAAGCGTACCTCGTGAATGAGTCATGGAGAAATGGTATAGAATCTTCCTGACTGACACTATTTATAGAACAACTAGCGGCGCCCGCGACTTCGTACGCGTGGATCCCGAGGAGTTTCGTAAAATCCGTTCATAGTGAGCACCTACGTTCAAAAAGGAACCCCTATGCAAAATTTGAGACTCTTAGCACTTGTAGTTTCTGAGATTTCGTAATGAGTGAGTCAATCAGTCAATCAGTGACCTTCCGCTTTTATAGATATTATTATAGATAGTGACCTAACCTTTTCTACAGCTCAAAATCTAGTGTTCTTAAAATAATAGAAAGGGAAGAACAGATAGAAACACGACTTTTCTCGATTAAAAGATCAATTTGTTATAAAAGGTCTTTGAAGCGAGAAGGACCTAGAGGCGAGCAGCGCAGGAGCGGTCGTTATAGAAATCTTTGGAAAAAGCCTTCAGTGGACGTCAATAGCTGAAACGACCACGATGACAACTATGAGGTTTTAACGTCCACGCTCTTAAAAATTATAAAGATAAAAAGCACAAGAGCTGCAATGCTACTAATATGGTAAGAGTACTTACTAGGAAGATAAAATTGGTACGCACCCAGAACGTAGGTAAAGAGTGCGTTTCAAGTTGTACCTATTATGTATTCTGTGGTTGTTCGTTCGTTCGTTCGTTCGTTTCAGCCGAAAGACGTCCACTGCTGGACAAAGGCCTCCCCCAAGGATTTCCACTAAGACCGGTCCTGCGCCGCTTGCATCCAGGTACCTCCCGCGACCTTCACCAGATCGTCGGTCCACCTAGTGGGAGGCCTGCCCACGCTACGTCTTCCAGCTCGTGGTCGCCACTCAAGAACTTTCCTGCCCCAGCGGCCATCAGCTCTTCGAGCTATGTGCCCCGCTCACTGCCACTTGATTTTAGCGATTCTGCGGGCTATGTCAGTCACTCTGGTTCTCCTACGGATCTCTGTGGTTGTAGTTAAAATAAATGGCATCTTAATTAATCTTCGCACAGCTATGTTTATGAAAATCTCAAATAATACGGTTTCTACCCTTTGCTTAGGGTTAATATTTTAAATCAAAATGTACTAATGTAAGAAATGAAGAGAAGGAAATTATCAAATAAAATAATATAAATTGAGTCCTTTAATATCTACTAACTAATTTTCTTATTTACAGTAAGTTCCTACAGATAAATCAATAAGGGAGAGAGTAGAGTGTAGAGAATACTAAAGGGTGCAACCACTTATTGATTTACTTTTTATCAAAAGGATCATATTCACTAGAAGCTGTAAAAACGGCTAATGATTTATGTTGTCAGTTTCTATTAACTAAGAATCTGATTTCATAAACCATTTTTATCTTTGTAAAATAATTTGACTCTTCCTATTCGAAAACTGTTCCATAACAATCAAGGACCTACAACCGAGCCCTGCGGCACGCCTCATTGTCATTCCGCCGCGCTGTCAGGATGCGGTGATGAATGCATGGCATTCCTCGCTTACCCTGCTGACCCACTGGCTACCCATTAGCACGGTTTCGAAGCCATAGGTTTATGATATTGACAGTTGTAATAGCTCGAAAGTGTCACTGGACGAGTTTGTCAAAAGCAGCAGTGCGTTCTAAATTGATGATTAACTAAATCTATTAATAATAGCATCCGTTATTCTGATTGATTGCTGTTACTTCATTATAAATAAGCATTCATACGTCATGCGAAATAACATAGTCCTGCATTAGACTCCTATCTGCAAAGGAATTACATAAAAAAAGCGACGGACTGAAACGATTTTAGAATTACAAACTGTCACGTTTGTCGTTGTCTAGGCAGTCTGGTAACTGACAGTTACACGCACTTAAATACACATAAATAACCACTACAACAGTGTAAATAAATTAACTTAACACAGACGCTGCATAATACAGCAATAACATTGTTTCATCTACGCGAATTAGTATGTCCGAAATGTACCGATCATCACATAATAGCCGGCGGCATTTTTGTTGAAACAATCGTTTTTGCCATCGACATGCGCGCTCGTACAGTTAACAGGGATGTAGTAGAGTTAAATTTAAGATGCCTAGGATAGCGGTAAGGCAAGTAGCAAAAAGATGTACTAAGTAAGTGTGTAATAGTTGGGAGAGGGATGATCAAAAATCATTTATTTATTCAAAAAGCCCTACTTACGCTACGTTAAGGGCATGTTCCCACAGAGACATCCCGATTTTTTGCAGAAAATCCTTTTTGAAAAGATCTCGTTTAGTAGTATATTACACATGGAACTAAAATGTTCAAACATTTTTTTAAAGCGCTCACTAGTGAGGACTTTTTATGTAATATCACACTCAGCCCACAGTTCGAATTTATTCGACAGTCCCATTTTGCGGGATCCTACGTCACTGGATTGCCGTGGGAACAAACCATTGATTTATTTCCATCCATCAAAATATGAACAATTCATTACGAAAAGAAATGCTGTGTATAGGAAGTACCTGTAATTGAGGTCATATACGCATCATGTGTTAAGCTATGATAAGATGTATGAACTGTAATTGTCTTTGTTGGTGTACCTAATAAATAAATAAATTCATTCTTTGATGGTAGTTGTTAAATTCAATAGTATTTTAAGGTAGCAATGCCTAACTTCGGCCCTGCCCGCTACTCGGAAGTGAAACATCCATTTCACAATCCGGACATGGCGCTGCGTGCGCGCGCGCATACGCGATGCGCCACCCTTATTGCGTCACTCGTTGGGTAAGTAAGACGCGAGCTTTTTGCCAAACCAGAGCAAATTTCACTTTCGGACGAAATAGCGACGCGAATTATAAAAACAAACAGTAACATGTTGGGTTTCAAGTGAGGAATAGAATTGAAGTTAAAGTTCTACTACGAAATAATGATGCGAGTAGGTCTGTTCTTCAGTTTTAAAGCACTGGAAAGTCAGGTTTTATACACGCCTAAAGTGAAAAAATCACCTCATAGTGCCTTTACAAAAAAGTTAAACACTGGTGAATGTCAATTCAAACTAGTGATCAACGCAACTTTTTGTAATAAGGCCAATAAAGTTTTCATTTTACTGTAAAGAAACATTAAATTATCTTCAAATAAGTACGGCACGGTACTACTAACAGCTTCGAGTACCTACTTTGATACCTAGTAAATAAATACCCATTTAAGATTTACTACCAAAATCCTAACTCTTCTCTTCCTTCTAACTCTGTCTGTCTGTCTGTCTGTCTGTCTGTCTGTCTGTCTGTTACGCTTTCCCGCTTAAACCTCGCAACCGATTTTGATGAAATTTGGCATAGAGATAGTTTGAGTCCCGGGAAAGAACATAGGATAGTTTTTATCCCGGTTTTTGAAATAGGGACGCGCGCGATAAAGTTTTTCTGTGACAGACAAAATTCCACGCGGGCGAAGCCGCGGGCGGAAAGCTAGTGATTTACTAAGAGAGCTTACATAACTAAGAATCAGTATTATTTACGTTACGTCCTACTACGGCACGAGAAAATTCGGCTACGCGGATTTCGTAGCATCTACGACTTGCCACTCGTAGACGTCTTTTATTCGTCAGGGAAAAATGCTGTAATGTGAAAGAAAATATCGTGTTGAAGACTTTTTCTCTAAATGGACGCCTGAAACGTTGTTCTAAAGACTTTTTTTAAGAGTAGGTACGGGACTATTCCCACCTCTCGTTCCCACCACTGCAACTCCTGTGTAGCCAGTATCTACAGCTTGACCGCCATAAAAACTCAACCAATGAAGGTCAAGTTTGTCCCGGGGGAAAGTTAAACTGTCATTGGACCTGCAACGAAATTAATCAGAAGAACATAGGAGGACTTCGAAATTAAGGATCGACTTCCCTCCATTGCAAAGCGGAGTAAGAGTAGGCTAGTATATTTACAATAATGATGCCAGCAGAGTAGCAAACGCAAAACACTTTACTTAGGTACCTGTTATACTCGTACATGAAAACATAAATTACCATATAAAAGACACAAGTACCAGACTGTCTATTACATAATGACTTGGAATTTTTATTAAAGTTATTTATGAATACCGATAGGAAATTCTAGCACAGAGAACAATGAGTTGCGAGTTGCAAAACCGGACATTAGTAAAACATCAGGCTCTCAACACCTGTCCAGACGTCTACATAACTTACATACTTATGTACCGACTAGCTTGTGGCCGCGGTTTCACCCGCTTGCATTTCCGTTTGTCACAGTATTCACGAGTTCTGCGTCTAAAATCGATTAGTTATTTGACCTAAACAAACACAATTAATTAATTGAAGCACGTTTAACATAACCTGCAGCATCCGAGAGGATGTGATGTGGTGCAGGCCCGGCATGATGCAGTTCTTTTTTTTTTATGGGACAGGAGGCAAAAGAGCAGACGGATCACCTGATGGTAAGTGATTACTGTCGCCCATAGACTCCCGCAGTCCCAGGAGCGTTACAGGTGCGTTGCCAGNGTTGCCGGCCTTTAGTTAGTTTAGTTCAGGAGAGATCCTGAATATTTTCATGATTCAGGAAATAATGGATTCACAAACCTACATACCGCTTCATGCCCCAGTTTGTTTTTCTTATAACTTGTGACGACATAGCTACGTTTTGTCCCTAAGTGTGAAACTCGTAGCTGGTAAAGTCAGTAATATTATACGAAAATTAATTAAAAAATGAGTGGTTAGGGCGTGAACAAAACAAACAAACAGTTTCAAATAAATAACGATCAAACAAACAGTTGCTTTCGCATTTATATAATGTTTTGGTTAGGATAGTTGATTTATTACCAGGTTGACACCATTGATTGATGTATCAAAGTGCGTGCTGCGAGCACACTAAAAATACCAATTGATTTTACCAACACAATTTCGACGATCCAAGGAGGCAAGGATTGCTAGTCACTGTGTGGATTCTGTCGTAATATCGAACTAAATAGCGGCGTTAAAGTATAGATTAACTTTACATTAACTTGCAGAAAGTAACTAATAAAGTACCTACTAACTGTCTGACTGAAGGGAAATCTTTGTTGAGAGATGAGAGATATGAACTCATCATAATTCATCATTATTACAGGTCCTCCCATTTATACAGCCATGCTTTGATTTATAGGAAATGTTAGCGAAAACACGTATTTTTATTACCTACTATGTTATGTTCCATTCAAACGAAGGTTTTTCTCTTTCACGCAAGTTAAATAAATTGTTAAAATGTCTGGTCAGACGTAACGTAGGTATCTATTTAAATTGATTCCAGAGAATAATACTAAGGCCCGATTCGAAAAAACTTTTATCCGTGAATAACTCCTGGTATAACTGGCAAATTAACAGTTTCAGTATGGGAAAATTATGTCAAAACTGTCGATTTATTCTGAGATTAATATTTACTCTTATTTGGTCGAATCCACCCTTAGGTAGATAAGTTGCAGACAAGTAATTATACTTTTGAAAATATACTAGAATGCAAATATTTTGAAAGATATGGACTTTCTTGCCTCAAACTAATAATAAATAAATATCCTTGGACATTTTACACTGCGCCTCTAGTTCCAAACTAAGCAAAGCTTGTACTAAGTAAAATGAGAAACATAATTAGTATCACACTCCATCGAATACATACTTAGGCGCAATCGCAAAACTTTTATTTTTATTCATTTTATTTATTATTTAAGAAAATTTTAATGCCTATTAAAATTATTCCCCAGTTTACAACGATATGAAGTTACATCAACGCTACACATAGCGTAAAACAAGGACATACCAAGCAATCGAGAAGTTTTTGATTGAATAACTTCGTAAGTACACGACAAACTATCTATTAGCTTGATTAATATGACACAATTAGCGCCCAATCAGTCGCACAAAACAATAATTATTGTCATAAAACTGAACTCACTCTCACCTCCTGGACTTTCTTAAATGAAAATAAATACTTTGCCAAGTATGAAAGCCATCGGGAGTCCGGTCACGCGCAGGCGCCGCGTGCCTTGCCGCCCAAAGGATCTCGGTATAAAAACCAAGCCCATTGAAAAATTAAATCATTGTTGTTCCATTAACCGGCCGGGCCGAACGTCAATTAATTATATCTAATGTCAAAGTGAAAAATAAAAACATGAAGTGGCTCATCGTTCTCGCTTCCGCGGCTCTCGTGCACGGCTACACCCTAAAGGACAATGAGGTGGAGACCGCTCGATTGAACACCAGTGATGATTTGCTAGACAGTGTTATCAGTGATTGTTTCGGGTCTGACACGCCGATGTCATGCCTCAAAGTGAAAGTTCTCTCTTTCCTGGACACCAAGTTGGGAGTCAGCTCGGAGTCTGCGCGGGCTTTGGATGAGAAGAACATCGACAAGGTGATATTCGAACGCGTTGGAAGGATCCTGAACAACAACGAATTCAGGGTTCAACTGCCGGAATTCCTCTTCCAAAGTGCCGAGGTCTCTTACAGAGCTGATCGCGGCTTCGATGTGGATTTCCCTGAGACTGACAGTGAAAATGGCGAAGGTAAAATCTGGACTTACACACACATACCTCCAAAATACTCTCCTTCAGGACTAATAACGCTATATTCCTTTCAGCTCGTGGCATCTTGAAGAAGAAGCTGCTGCTGCCAGTCCTTCTTCTGCTCAAGCTGAAGATGAAGGCTCTGATGCCGATCCTCGTCGCCCTCATCGGCATCAAGGCCATCAAGGCCCTCATCCTTAGCAAGCTGGCTATCACCCTCGTCATCGGATTCTTGGTTTACAATCTGCTGATGAAGAAAGGAGGTAATACATATTACATAAAAACACCATTAAAATCCTGCAATGATAAAGTTCTGCGGGCAGCAAGGTTCTGGAGCGGAGGCCACGTACCGGAAAACGCAGCATGGGACGTCCACCCACAAGGTAGACAGACGACTTGATAGTAGTAGGAAAGCGCTGGATGCAGGCCGCTACCAACCGTGCGATGTGGAAGTCATTGGGGGAGGCCTATGTTCAGCAGTAGACGTCCTGTGGCTGAAATAATGATAATGATGATGATGAATGATAAAGTAGGTAATTAGGATAATAACAATGAATATTCAAATTCCAGGTATGCCCATGATGATGGCCCCCACGGAGGCTGCTCCGCCAGCGCCTCAATACGGCCCACCAGCGTCGCAGTATGGCCCGCCGCAATCCACCCCCGCCGCTCCTCAGGATTCCTACGGCGCGCCTTGGGAACCCTCCAGCTCGGGACCCTACGCTCGCGTTTGGGACCCCTCCCAGCTTGCCTACAGCTCTTACTTCCCTAGCGAAGGATCCTCCGCTGCATCCGACCAGTCTCCCTCATACTCCAGCGTAGCGTCCATCTCCAGCTCGTCATCATCATCATCATCACCCACCTACTAAACCAACGATACCTCATAACTCACAGGAACTTCCTCTGTAAATAGAACACGAACGAATGGCTAGCGTCTATGTCTAGTTAGTTATTTATTACGATATTTAATTTATTTATTGAACACGAATAAACTGATGTTGTTTTCATTGTGTTTTTCAATACCTTGTTAATTTAATGGGATTCACCAGAATCCAAAATATATCAAAATCCGGACACCACTTTATTAGAAGCCAGAAACTATTCCCTAAAAATATAACAAAAATTGATTTGATTGTTTTGAAGTATCTGACCTTACTCCCAGATCCTTAATACAAACGGATAAAATGTTATCAAATCAAAACCAAAAGACATGTGCTATCTATACCGAAAACCTATCCAGTTGACCTAAAATACAGAACCATATTAGATGGATCCTGAACTATATTCTTTTGCAGACCATAATATTGCTACCTATGTTTAGTTAAGCCTAGGCGCATACTACTGATTTTTGTCGGCCGATAGTTGGGCCCGAATCTAATTTGTATGAAGAATCTGCCGATCGAATGTGCGCACTTTCATACATGTCCATACTGAGCCCGACCCAACTATCGGCCGACAAAAAACAGTAGTCTGCGACTAGGCAAAATAGGCACAGAAGGGTCAATGAAGCTCGGTAGTCAGACCACCCTGTGACTACCAATCAGCGACACATTTTCACACTAATGAGTCCTTCCTGAGAAACGCTGTCTGTAAACGTGACTCGGTCATAATTTTCACTTTGCCTTTTAGGACCAATGCAATGTAAGGGCGTGTCCAACGTTGAATTACCAGGCCAGCATCAAGTCAGTCAGTCAATGTACCAGAGACATACTGACTCATAGACTCCCTGAGCTGGCCAGACAGTTTGGGACGTTAGTTATCATCTAAGCCACAGGCTGACATAGGGCTCCCCCAATGACTTCCACATCGCACGGTTGGTAGAGCGGCCTGCATCCAGCGCCTCCCTACTACCTTTATCACGTTGGTTANATGGTCCCATAAGGCACGTTGGGTTTGTCAGGCGCCTGGTTGGTCGCCGCTAAAGCTGGGTTCACTCGCATCGTACGCTGCTGTAGCGTGTCGTGGTAGCGGTAGAATCTCTGGAAATGTAAATAAACAAATGAAAATCACACCTTGATTGAGCAGGTATAACAAGAAATCAATAAGTAGTAAGATCATCAACAGCCCTTTATAGTCCACTGCTGGACTATGAGCCTCCTCCACTATAGTGGAGGGTTTTGCCATAATCTCCACGCTTGGCAGGCGGGTTGGAGATCGCAGTTTAAAAGATTGATGTTTTTCAGAGAGCGCTGCTGCCCATTCTCTGTTTGATGTGTAGTCCCTAAGTCGCCTCTTACGACACCCGCGGGAAGAGTAGGGGTTGGTGACAAATGTATTCTACTCTGTCATAATTCTATTTGACAAAGAAGTCTTGGGTCGCGTTTCACAGCTCACATTATGGAAAATATTTTCCCTATTGTGAATTCAATCACAGTACATAGTGTTTCTTACATTCTCATGGTTGAACCACTGAAATATTTGACGAATTTTATTAAAGGTAGCAGGGACGCTAGATGCAGGCCGCTACCAATCCATCAACATGGAAAGCATTGGGGGAGGCCTATGTTCAGCAGTGGACATCCTATGGCTGAAATGATGATGATTACAGACAGATAGGAAAGTCATTTTTGAGCGTGGACTTATTAAAATGTAGCAAGTCTTAGGTGCACACTAATTTATTGACAAACCAGCGTGTGTTTTAGAAAGCTTTAATATTCCCACCGATAAAATGTGGCAATGCAATAATTGAGCAATACCACAGCGTTGAGGTGGGAAAGATATCTTTAGACGCAAATGTAGACATCAATAAATTCTAGAGCAGTTGTAACTCCAAAGCGATAGATACCTTCTCAGTTTTTGGGCACTGTTGGAGCCAACATTCCAATAGACAGGTATTGGACAAGAGTTTGACATTAAAATATTGGGGCAAATCATCACCCAATGACCAACGTGAGCATTCTTAGTTCTTAGAAGCCGACGTTCCAATAGGAAGATCAGCATTAGACTAGAGTTTGACAAAAGATTCTACGAGTTCCCCCTAGTCTTCTNAACCAACGATACCTCATAACTCACAGGAACTTCCTCTGTAAATAGAACACGAACGAATGGCTAGCGTCTATGTCTAGTTAGTTATTTATTACGATATTTAATTTATTTATTGAACACGAATAAACTGATGTTGTTTTCATTGTGTTTTTCAATACCTTGTTAATTTAATGGGATTCACCAGAATCCAAAATATATCAAAATCCGGACACCACTTTATTAGAAGCCAGAAACTATTCCCTAAAAATATAACAAAAATTGATTTGATTGTTTTGAAGTATCTGACCTTACTCCCAGATCCTTAATACAAACGGATAAAATGTTATCAAATCAAAACCAAAAGACATGTGCTATCTATACCGAAAACCTATCCAGTTGACCTAAAATACAGAACCATATTAGATGGATCCTGAACTATATTCTTTTGCAGACCATAATATTGCTACCTATGTTTAGTTAAGCCTAGGCGCATACTACTGATTTTTGTCGGCCGATAGTTGGGCCCGAATCTAATTTGTATGAAGAATCTGCCGATCGAATGTGCGCACTTTCATACATGTCCATACTGAGCCCGACCCAACTATCGGCCGACAAAAAACAGTAGTCTGCGACTAGGCAAAATAGGCACAGAAGGGTCAATGAAGCTCGGTAGTCAGACCACCCTGTGACTACCAATCAGCGACACATTTTCACACTAATGAGTCCTTCCTGAGAAACGCTGTCTGTAAACGTGACTCGGTCATAATTTTCACTTTGCCTTTTAGGACCAATGCAATGTAAGGGCGTGTCCAACGTTGAATTACCAGGCCAGCATCAAGTCAGTCAGTCAATGTACCAGAGACATACTGACTCATAGACTCCCTGAGCTGGCCAGACAGTTTGGGACGTTAGTTATCATCTAAGCCACAGGCTGACATAGGGCTCCCCCAATGACTTCCACATCGCACGGTTGGTAGAGCGGCCTGCATCCAGCGCCTCCCTACTACCTTTATCACGTTGGTTATATACCACCAAAATAGTATAATAGGACATAGGACTTATAGGATAGCCAATACACCAACGTTTAAGTATAAAATTGATTCACAGTTTTGATTTAATGTTGCCTATAGTCGCTTAGACCTACTTGTTCTACAGTCACCTACAGAAAGAAAGAAAACTTAATTTTCCAAGGTGTTAATAGCACAGAATAATAGGCATAGAGCTTGACTGAGGGAACCCCTTGTAATGAAAGCTTCAAGTTAGAGTTATCACGGTACATTACGTCTGAAACTGAAGTCTACACTATTCTTCAGTCACCTGCTAAGTTTCACAATAGAATTGAGAGAATAAAACAAATGAATCACCTTTAATAAATATTTTATTTTATTTATTTCAATACTTGATTACATACCGGTTTATAGGTAGATAGTGTTAGAGAAGTGGTAAAAATATTATTTCGAAACATGTTATTAATGTGAAAAAGTGGAAAAATATGGTTCTAGAAGGGTGTCATAAGGTTTTGCTATTATTGTCACGAGTGTATCGGCTCCTAATTGTTTAACTCAAAATACAGACGGGTGTAATGTGTAATGTACCTAAGATTACGTGTAATGTAACACGAATTCTACGTGTGGTCGACACTACGAGCATTACATGTAAAGTGCTGCCCATACTATTTCCATTACATTACATTACACGATACGTTCGAATACCCATCTGGATTTACCCTTAAAGACGAAGTTCGATATAAAGACGAAAACAGATCAAGATAACACTGTATGTACTGCATCTTCTGAAGTTTTAAAATAGTTATTAAAAATTACCTAGTTTTCAACAATAGGCTTATACTTAGGTACTGGTTTGTTCATTAGTGCCCAAACTGTAAAAGTAGGTACTTTGTAGCTGATACGTAGGTAGGTACCTACGTACTAAGAGGAGTTAAACAATTAGGATCGAAGCCGATTTGGATTTATAAAATTCATTTCATTAACTTTTATAACTACGAAGATAGGTAGGTAATAAACGTTTATAGACTTTCAGAATAGTGAAGTTAAATGGGAAAATTGATTTAATCTTTCTTTAGATTACGTACTTAAGTATATAGGGCAGGGATGGCGAACCAATGGCACGCGTGCCATTGATGGCACGCGCCACAATATTTAGGGCACGCCCACCTATCACAAAATCCCAACTAATATCCCAACTAATATTATAAATGCGAAAGTAACTCTGTCTGTCTGTCTGTCTGTTACGCTTTCCCGCTTAAACCTCGCAACCGATTTTGATGAAATTTGGCATAGAGATAGTTTGAGTCCCGGGAAAGAACATAGGATAGTTATTATCCCGGTTTTTGAAACAGGGACGCGCGCGATAAAGTTTTTCTGTGACAGACAAAATTCCACGCGGGCGAAGCCGCGGGCGGAAAGCTAGTTCACTATAAAATAATGTGTTTTATATAAGGGCTATCGTATTTGCCCTCATCAGTTAGTGCCACTGTTGAGTAAGGTCCTGTCACTCGCCAGTGGCACCACTTGTACTATACCCCTCATTGATAGCATTAGGTGATATTTGATGGCACGTCTAAGACTATATCAAAGATTTTTTTCGGAAAAAGGGCACGTTGATACATAAAGGTTCGCCATCCCTGATAGGTATAGGGTGTGAAAATGCGTCACAGAGCCTGGAGCTTTGCATTTACATCTAATCGAGAGAGATTTTACCACGAAATATTTACTTATACATAATAGGTATACGGTATGTAACACATGATCCTATTTACATTAAGATGATAGAGGAGGTATCTAAATTGGAAAGGTTAAAGCTATATTTCACAGCCTTCGACTAAGGAGTGCGTAAATGTAGTGGTGTGGATTCTCAGACATGCTCACATGCTGAATGGTGAACGAGAAATGTCTCAAAAATTCTAGGGCCCATTTGGTAAACATAGTGGTCTTAAAACTAGTATAAGTAGATCGCCAAAATTTGCTGTATAATTAGTCAGCGTACCTACAAATATTTAAATAATTTCTACAAGAATAAATTACAAATATTATGTCATTTACTACATGAAAATAATTAAATATGTCAGAACATTAAGTGTTGGGCAATTCAAGGGCCAAGCAAGGTATCTTTTTTTTGTGATGGACTGTCGCTGAAACGCGCAGGTCGCCACGCAGTGATTCATGGTGCTGTATCACTGCTCATACTAGTGAATTTGTTAGGCGGCAACTTTTGGAAAAGCTGACTTTATCATAGATCGCATAAACCAGGAAAATCTACTCTTTCCTCCAAGAAAATCCACAAGTAGTTGCACAATAAATTAAGACGTATGGTATGGTAATAAAAAAACAATTTGTTTCACAACCATGCATCTTAGTTTATTTAAATGTTGATTTTAACATGCTCTTCACGTCCTATATGTTGGTCCCTTTAACATTGCTTGAAGAAGTAACTTCTGGTGAAGTGACACAGATTTTTTGGGATATTCTAAATGAAAGTATCTCAGAATCCACCCCACTCATAGTTGACCTATAATAATGAAGAAGTGATTAGCAAGACATGAAAAAGATTACAATATGATAAAGATAAAGACTTCTAAGTTAATTTCAGGATTCAATAAATAATAAATACTAACTTATTTACTTGATTCCTGAGTGTCGATTTTCATTATGAACTCCCATTTGCATAAATTCTAACAAATCAGTTGGAAGGTAGGCATACAATTTATATTTTTAATCGCCACAGTATCTTTAAATTATTTATTTATTGAACCATGAAATTAAACTATTATATGAAGAGTACAAGCACATACTGGTGTGAAATGCGAGTAAAAAGATATGTTTTAAGGACTGAGGAGGTATTTTTGAAGCACAACAATTTTTGTGCTAATTCACTGCGAGCGAGGAGCGACAGTACGTCTCCTGAATAAATAGATTTTAAGTTATTGTTTTTTTAATCGCTACTTTTATCAAAATATGGAAATCCTAATTTATTTTCAAATTCCTACTTCTTTATTGTCATCGGATAGGTTAACTAATGATTAAAATTTATTGAGGTTGATTGTTCCTTGCCTATAGACAATGTCTTTTGATTCGAATCGTGATCGATTCGCTACGACAAGTATCCGTTACGAAGATACAAAATGTAGCTATAAATTAATGAGACTTATTCAAAAATTAAAATGATTTTTAGACTACTAGTGTAGTGGCACCATTACGTTAAACTGAACGAGTTGAAAGTATTTAAATTAAATCTTAGTAAGTAATGATTTTCCATTTTTTTAATTATTTTGGCGGACACAGCTACTAATTTAAAAAAACTGCAAGTAGGTAAATAGTATAGTACTTACCTACCTATAAGGTAAGTGTGAAGAAGGAAAAGGTATTTCTACCTTTAATGATTTTATTAGTTAGTCTTACATTTTACCATACATATTATTATGTATACGTTTTTATATCTACTAGCCTACCTTTTAATATTTTATACTTATTACTATTTCTTAATACATTTTGCAAGTGGTGTATATGAAATGGACTTTTCTACTGTACTTGCACAGGCCATGCAAAAATAAGCTTTATTTCGACGACATACAAACCAATGGAAGATGGATAAGGCACCAGGGTACGTTTCACTACTCGGTTTCTCCAGATCGCCTTTAAAACTGATCAAATCTTGAAAACATTATTAATGTGCCCACTAGTTGGCGCCACTAGCGAGTAAACTGTAAAATCCTGAATCCAACTTCCTTGAGTGAGGCTAAGACAGTGGCGCCAACTGCTAAGCTCTGAAGTTTTCAATCACCAAGTTCATTAATCCCCGTTATACAGGGTGTCCCAAAAACAATGGATAACCCTGTAACCATCGATAGGCCTCGCCATGGTCTCCCTAACGTCCAATTTTGACCCCAGTAAAAATATCACCGTTTTCAAGATTTTTATGCTTTTGTGCATTTTTTGAAAATTGTCACCTGCGATTAGTTTTTCTCATGTCAATTCTACAAATGAGCATACTTTTCAATCTAGTTTTTTTCCTTATCACAAGGGATAGTTGGGCTATCAAAAGAAAAGATTAAAGTTCAACAAACTAGTTTAAAAGTATGAAAATTTTAAGAAATTGCAGAGAAGAAGGAAACATTAATTCATTGTCTTGCACTTTTGATCAGCCATCGTGTAAAAAAAATGTGGGAAGACCATCGTGCCCATTACCTTAAAAACTTCCTTGGTTAATTGAGATTCTGAAAAGGTATCACATGCTTAATGTATTCTGTATTATTTTTATCTTATGGCTACTTGAATAGCAACTAGTATGAAAACTGAAAAAATGAGTTTTTCTCGTAATAATTAAACTAGGACTGCATAGTGGCATTAAATACAAATGGATAATTTTTAGCGTAGGAATTTTAATAAAGCAACATTTTATCATCATCATCATCATCATTTCAGCCATAGGACGTCCACTGCTGAACATAGGCCTGTACCCTAATGATTTTCATAATGACCGCTTGGTAGCGTCCTGCATCCAGCATCTTCCTGCTTACCTTTATGAGGTCGTCGGTCCACTTTGTAGGTGGACGTCCTACGATGCGCTTTCCGGTACGTAGCCTCCACTTGAACCCTGTTGCCCCATTGGCCGTCCGTTCTGCGTTTTAGTGATTACTTAATTTTTGTTTTACACCTTATATGTGCCTATAGACAGATACCCGTGATGATACACGGCTCGGAAACGTGGATTTTTTGCACAGCGTGCTATGGAAGGGGCTATGCTCGGGTTTCTTTACGAAACCGTATCAGAAATTAGGAGACCTGTAAACGAACTAAAGTCGCTGACATAGACCGACGGAACAGCAAGCTGAAGTGGCAAAGGGCAAGGCACAGTAGTTTGCAGAACTGAGGCAGCATGGTTCAAGTGGAGGCTACGTACCGGAAAGCGCATCGTAGGACGTCCACCTACAAAGTGGACCGACGACCTCATAAAGATAAGCAGGAAGGTGCTGTATGCAGGCCGCTACCAAGCGGTCATTATGAAAATCATTAGGGTACAGGCCTATGTTCAGCAGTGGACGTCCTATGGCTGAAATGATGATGATGATGATGATAAAATGTTGCTTTATTAAAATTCCTACGCTAAAAATTATCCATTTGTATTTAATGCCACTAGGCAGTCCTAGTTTAACTATTACGAGAAAAACTCATTTTTGCAGTTTTCATACTAGTTGCTATTCAAGTAGCCATAAGATAAAAATAATACAGAATACATAGGCTTGTGATACCTTTTTAGACTTTCAATTAACCAAGGAAGTTTTTAAGGTAATGGGCACGATGGTCTTCCTACATTTTTTTTACACGATGGCTGATCAAAAGTGCAAGACAATGAATTAATTTTTCCTTCTCTTCTGCAATTTCTTAAAATTTTCATACTTTCAAACTAGTTTGTTGAACTTTGATCTTTTCTTTTGATAGCCCAACTATCTCTTGTGATAAGGAAAAAAACTAGATTGAAAAGTATCCTCATTTGTAGAAATGGCATGAGAAAAAGTAATCGCAGGTGGCAATTTTCTAAAAATGCACAAAAGCTTAAAAATCTTGAAAACGGTGATATTTTTACTGGAATCAAAAATGGACGTTAGGGAGATCATGGCGAGGCCTATCGATGGTTACAGGGTTATCCATTGTTTTTAGGACACCCTGTATAAGGATTTTATTTTGATTTTATAAGTTCCAATTGGCGTTAACGGGGAATAGTGAACAAAAAGTTCACTAATCCCCGTTGACGGGGATTGTCAACGGGGAATAGTGGAATAAGCCCATGGGCGCCTCTATTAGCGACAACGCACATTGGGCGACAAAACGCATGCGCGCGTCATTTCATATGACATAGCCACGAGCCCACGACATAGCGACTCCGCGACATGTCGCAACGACAAGCTCCAAAATAATCCAAAATCTGTGGTCCTATCACTCGCCAGTTGCGCCAGCTGAATGAGCGTAATTATTATCAATTTGATAGACGAACTCAGGAGACCGAGTGACCATATCTGAGACGTTTCGACAAGCCTGTACTTCTAATGCAAATGATATGTACGAGATAAATCAAAATATGTAATATGTATCCATTATGCATATGTGTAAAATATTCTTTTTCAGGTCAGTTTCATCGTTCACTCGTTTAATTTTTAAGTTCTCCTTTTTAAGGCTTTTCCACTATTATAACTTTTTGTTCACTATTCCCCGTTATATTAGGATTTATTTTTAATATTATAAGCTCCAATTGGCGTTAACGGGGAATAGTGAACAAAAAGTTCCCGTTGACGGGGATTGTCAATGGGGAATAGTGGAATAAGCCTTTTTTAAGAAACGGTTTATAATATCAGGGACTTTATCAGGAACCGAACCGGTGAAACTGACCCTACTAAATGTTCAGGCATCTATACTACTAGGGAGAAAATAAAATAAAAGAATGGAAAGTAATAAAAAAAATGTTTACTATCAAATAAATAGACTAACAACCTTATTAGGAATAACATAAGACGCCGATTGCTTTGTTCGGAATATGTCGTTGATAGCAATATTTATTTGGTTTCGGGATTTGAACACACGAGCGCTTCAGAATATCATTTGCTATGATTTTATACTAAAGGCCCCATATAATATTGATATGATTGAAACACAAAATACCAAGGAACTTTGTGTAAACCACCTCTTGTAGAAGAGGTTTCGAGTATCTACTCCAAAACGACCGCAAACTATAAGGCCTATCGTTTTTATACTTGCCAGTTGTCACCACTGGTGATTGACATGACTCTACAGTGGCGCCATCCTGGTGTAAGCAAATGCGAGTCTCCTCCTACCGCTTCTTAAAACGACAGCCCTCATTGAATGCAGGAATTAACGATTAGAAAACAATCATTAACAAAATGCGACTGTGTTGAACAACCGTAGTTTAACATAACAAATGGATTTCAACTTGGTTTAATTTGTATTAAAAATATTCTGTGCTTCGTCAGATCAATATTTGACAAACAAACAGGGACACTCAACACCCGTTAGCTCGACTAAACATCACTTAACGTAAACAAACTAACCTAAAACAATGTTAGTAGTTTCAGTCTGTCAAACCTACATTTAGTTTGTTAGGGAAAATGTTAATTTGTGAATTTACAAGACGGAAGAACTCATTTTTTAATAATATAATTTATAATAACATTCATTATAATAAAATTTAGGAAACAATTTGGAAATAAACTGGCAAAAAAACTTGATAATGGTATTGTAGAAGAGATTATGTCAATATTAATAATAATAGTCATTTATATAATAAAAAAAAATCGGTTAACCTAAGACAAGATTATTGCTAGAAGATAATTAAATAAAGATTAAACCTACATAAGATGTGCGTTAAATTGAAAACATGTATTTTCTTAATATAAACAATTTTTTTTTGGACATTTCAATTTTTAGGTGAATGTGAAAGTAAAAAGGTGGTTATTAGTGCTAAATTATTCTGTCATACAAATAATTAAATATACAAACTGTATAATAGTAGTGTTCACTGCAAAATATCGACCTAAAACTTAACGGACTTTATACTTCAACCATTTTGTACTAGCCAATATATAAATATATTTTATACACTTAAAAACTTTAACAGTATGTATATCTTTACATAGCATATACCTATCTAGACATTATTTATTTCATAACATTCGTTTTATTATAGAAATAAGCAATGTTGATACTTATAGGTAAGATAATATACCAATATACTATATTTATTGTGCAACACAATATATAATAAGCTAAGGTATATATTATTTGTATAATATAATATCAGGATTCTTTCGAGACTCAATTCCTTTGAAATATTATTTAAATGTGTACTAGTTTGAAACATTTTACTATTGTCTTTCTGATTTATAGTCAATATCAATTCATTATTTATAAAATACATATACTATTACTTTTATAACTTGGAGATATACATAATAGCTCAGGCAAAAACATTTATATATCTGGATAAAATAAATTAACAAGCTAAAAAGCACTCATGTAGCACTTATTTGTTTTTCTTAGCACACATACTTCTCTTTTACACTATTATTACTGATTAAATTTGATAACAATGGTTATAAGTTTCATCATCATATTTGATGACATGTTATTCTCTCTTTATCAAAGTAACTTGCACCAAACTGAAGTAGCATATTGGAACACCATAGCATCTGATGTTGAATGTTGACCTTGAACACTATTCTTGATACAGTCAATGGTACATACTACCTCTTGCTATGATTCACAAATAGTTTGTCAGACATCTTGAAAACGCAGTAAGTTTTAACAATGTCAAAGTTTAACCACATTCACTTTTAAGACTCGTCAGAATCACTAATACATAATTATTTATATAAATATAGATTCATAATAAGTTTCTTAATCTCAGCTTTTTCTAGTTTGAATCTTGAAGGCAACAAAAGTACTTACTTTCGATTTCTTCTCACTTTACAATATAAATATTTTGATTTTTAAATATCAGATCAGATTTAGTGCCTTTTTCCTTTAATGCGGATTTCAGCACGTGCATTTTGCGTCTGGCTGCCCGCAGTTGATTATTTCATACGTGTTTTTACTATAACAAAGGTTAGGCAATCAGCAGAGTGATTATATACGCACGCCACAGATTAGAGACCAGCGGGGTTACTCCAAAAAACGTTATCCAAAGTTTCGAATATTGCCATCTCTCTCACGCGAAGCGAGATGCCATCAAGAGCGACGGTGACAGATAGACCCGAAACTACGTGAACAACGTTTCGGAGTTGCCCCCCAGATCCGCACGCGTGCCGAAATTCGCATCAAAGAAAAAAGGCACTTGCTGTAGCGGATAATCACCGATAATGTTACATCTGATAACTATAATCATCATAATATAGTACATCAACATCTTAGTATATCAAATCACTTGTCACTGATCTCACAACTCTAGCCTCTTTGTCACCATTTTCTGTGCTCGTACTGTGCTGTCAATTTCACTGCACAGCGAATAGAGCTTACTAGCAGTCACCAATTTCTCCGTTAGCACTGCTAACTTAGCAGTGAAACACACAGCTAAGCACAAACATTCAACAATCCAATCCACAATTCACTATTTTCTTCACTGCCTTAGTGAGTCGTGAAACACACAGTGAATCACAAGCATCTCACTCTCAATCCAAGCCTCCTCACTATTTTCTTCACCGATCCCAGTTTGTCACAGACATGTCACTTTAACCACTTTAAACATCATTTTCATTCAAAGAACACTTTATTCACTGTTTCATCACTGTCACTGATCACTGACAGTTCGTCAGAGGCCTGTCAACAGGCGTAGCGCGGCGGCGGCGCGCGCGGCCACCCGCTAAAGACCCGCGTAGTTAGCCGTCACTATGAGCGGGCAGACACGTGTGAACACCAGGCCTGCTAAGATGCCTGTGACGAGAGACGCCGCGCCGATCATGCCGGCTGTTGATGCGTTCTCGGGCGCTACCGTCCTGGAAAAAATAATAACAATTGATAAAAGTTGAATACTTCATTTTCAGGATTAAGGGCCCTCGCCCACGGCGACTTTTTGTAGCGATGCAGTCGCGCGCGTTGGCATCACTTCTGTAGTGCGTTGCAAATGCAACTGACGCGCGTTAGTTAGATAATTCCTGGCAATTAGTGGTGACTGAGTTTGTTCCGGCGTTTCTTCTCAGCACTTGCCATATGTTTGTCTCGAAGCGCTGGTAGGGCCCAAAAGATAAGGAGACATGTAAAGTGCCCCATAATGGGCTACCTTTTTTTTTTTTATTATTTACTATATTTTGATGTTCATAAGTGCCACTTGTGGTCTAAACTGAATAAATATTTTTGATTTTGATGTTTGATTTTAGTAGCAATGCTGTCGCCGTGGACGAGGACTCTGAAGGCTATTATGTCTTAACCCAGTTGGATACTCGTATGAGAAATCATTGATTGAGACTTAATTATTGCACTGCTTCTTCTCAGCACTGGGCCCATTTATTGTCCCGAAGCAGTTGTAGGGTTAAATGTAAGTGCTTTTTAAAAGCCTAGTTGCAAAAATTAAAAAAAAATGTCATTTTTAATACTTTTGCACTTATAATGGCAACATTCTTCCGCTTATTCCTAATAATTTCTATTTAGGTAGAAAAGTTATTTAGGTGTAGCAAGTCTTAGGTGCACACTAATTTATTGATAAACCAGCGTGTGTTTTAGAAAGCTATAATATACCCACTGATAAAATGTGGTAATGCTAAAATTAAGCAAGACCACAGCGTTGTAGTGGGACAAACAATAAAGTTATTATACCTAGCGGAATAGAGCAACAAAGGACTGAGCGAGCGAGATGTCAATAGCAGCAACACTGTGTGATAAAAAGAGATGTGTTTACGTGAGTGAAACGGTGATGTTTATGAGAAATAGTGCTTCAGAAACGTGCTGTTCAGTGATTTATTATTAGTACAAAATAGTAATAATAAAGTAATTAATCCTGACCAAATCCAAAGTATGATCCAAAATAGGTTTTGTTTGACAGCTTGTGATTGTTGCTGTATTCCGAGGCTCTAATTAACTTTATACGATAAACATAAGAATTATGGAAGTATGTAACAAATAAAAATAGTAATAGGTGTGTGAGGGCTTAGACAAAGTTAAAAACGGAACAGTTGTTGCAAAATTCCTTTGCTCCATAGTTATTTCGATTTGTGTAGCGATTTAGAAATTAAAACTTGTTTTGCACAATTACTATAGTCCAGTTAACCCCTCGTGATAAGCTAGTGTTTTATTTAGTAAATGGATCGGTCCGTGACCCTCACTCGGCATGGGGCATACTGAAAACCAGCGCCGTGGCCTTCGTCACTGTGGGCCACGGCATATGCTGAGTGGGGTCCCGTTGCAGTGGGCATCTTGTTGGTGAATGGGTGGCACTGCTCAGTTTGCTCTTGTTTTTATTTTTTCTTCTTTTATTATTATGTGCCACTGTCATGTCTATGTAATTGGCTGTATTTGTGTGATGTCCGTTGTAATAAATGTATCTTTCTTTCTTCTTTCTAAATGTATGATAGTACTCACCCGCTGACATACATCATGCCCAAAGAACTGCAGTGGCCGGAGCTCCATCCGAGCAAAGCCGCGAACGCCCAGTACAGCTTATCGTCGTTGATCCAGATGGGCAGCGTTCGCGTGGCAGACTTGTAGTTGCACATCAGGAAGAACGGAATGAACAGGATGCGCAGTGTCGTCATCAGGGACAGCCAACGCTTTGACGGCTGGAAGTGGTAGATGGTTATTAGTAAAGTATGTCTTCTTGAACCATATTGGGTTGTCTACACTAATATTATAAAGAAATCAAATCAAATCAAATCACTTCATTTGTAAAAATGTGGGTAAAAATGATGACAATTAATATGGAAAAAAAGCACAAACACATTTACCATTACTGGCATACAAATATTTTATGGTATCGAATTAATATTAAAATGTCAAATAACTTTGTTTGTTTGGTTGTAATGAATAGGCTCAAAAACTACTGGACCGTTTTTAAAAATTATTTCACCATTCGAAAGGGACATTATCCACGAGTAACATAGGCTAAATTTTATTTTGGAAAAAATACAATTGACAAAGAAAGTGACTGAATCAACAATCTATCTATCTATCTAAGATCTAAGGGCATTTTTACTTTGCGTCTTACAATCGCGATGAACGTATCTTTACGTACGCGCGTTACAATAAGCATCGATATCTGAAAACTTATTGAAAAATGATCTCTCTGCAGAAATAATGGTTTTTGCGTCTTTTGTATTTTACAGATCGCAGTTTTATTGCTACTTTTGATTGGTCGCAATCGCAGAACAAATTCTAAGGCTGGGTTGCACCATCTTATTTTAACAATGAAAAACGTCAATAATCTACCAAACTCCATACAAAAAACACCGGTTATCGTTATAGTTACAGTCAAAGTTAGGGTTAGGTGGTGCAATTCAGCCTAAGACTGAGATTGTATCGAGATTGAACAGAAGTTTTGTAAAACAGATCTTGAGATTTTGGCATCAATGAATCAAATGAAATAAAATAAAAAAATAAATAAACAGGGCAATCTAAATAAAACCGTTTAATAAAAAGGTAGACAGAAAACACTTACGAATTGCCATAAATTGGCCGTGATATTTCCAATCATGGCCATCGCGTTGAAAGTCAAGAAGCAGGTGATCCCCACAAACATATTGCCTAGGAACCCTTTCTGAATTGGCTCGATATCTGCAAAGAATAAAAAAGTTACAACAATGCCCGTTTTCACCATCAATCCCTAATTTTTAAGTATGCCTCATGGTAAGTATGGTAACACTTAACAGGAATTTGTTTTCATAAAGGTCACTAAAAAATTAGCCAATTATCCACGCTAAATTTTGTCAGTGTGTGCGTGCGCGCCGCATACGTATTGGCGCGCTCACATACAAACCGCGCTCGGGCGTTTCTATGAAGATGACCTACTCATTTGTATTTACTCTGTAATAACCCACTATTGATAGTAGCGTCCTCCTGAAAATGTCATAGCTAGGACGATTCAGTGGAGATGTCCTACACAGAACCGTTCCACCCGTGACATTGACAGGGGGCGCCAATACCGGATCGCTAGTACCGATTTTTCCCACATTGGAAAACATTGTAATGTCATTTGCAGGAGGGCGATGTCATCAATACTATAGTTCCAAAATACTGAACTGTCCTATCCATGACATTGACAGTAGCGCGCCACCGTCAATACCGGATCGCTGGTTCCGATTTTTGCCATGTTGGAAACCATATAGTTGAACGATGGTAGCGCCCCCCTGTCATTGAGTTTGGTGGGACAGTTCAGCGTGGGTCATCTATATTTCCGATCTTTGCCATTTGACGTTTCAAAATCGTTCTAACTATAGTTGAAATGTCGCGAGACGTCACGACGATGGTGTAAAATTTTAACTGAGCAGTGACGTCACGCGACATTTAAACTCAAGTCACCTTGTCGATTGACGTCACACGCTACACAATCGCAAAAACTCACCCGAGTGTACAGAAGGGAACACGGCCAGCGATACGAAGAAGGTTATAAATATGTTATACAGCTGCACCCAGGATTGCTTGAAGATGGTCCCGTAAGGCACGTTGGGTTTGTCAGGCGCCTGGTTGGTCGCCGCTAGTGCTGGATTCACTCGCATCGTACGCTGCTGTAGCGTGTCGTGGTAGCGGTAGAATCTCTGGAAATGTAAAAAAACAAATGAAAATCACGGATTCTTTAGGCAATTGCCACAATTAAAAAATAAAATCAATAGATAGTGAGTTCAGAAACTGGTGACGTCAGTCTTCTTTGACGTGCAAAATCTCAGGGAAAAGGCTTGTATCATAGAAAACATTCAGTTTCTATGGCTAAGCCAACCACAGTAGCTTTTGTCTGTTACATTTTCATGGATAAATCACTGAAATATTTGATGAATTTGATTATAATTAGATCAGACCTTGGAATAAAACAAATCTGAAGAGTGGACTTATTATAATCATCATCATTTCAGCCACAGGACGTCCACTGCTGAACATAGGCCTCCCCCAATGACTTCCACGTCGCCCGGTTGGTAGCGACCTGCATCCAGCGCCTTTCTGCTACCACTTGAACTTATTTAAATGTAGCAAGTCTTAGGTGCACACTAATTTATTGACAAACCAGCGTGTGTTTTAGAAAGCTTTAATATACCCACCAGTAAAATGTGGCAATGCTATAATTGAGCAATACCACAGCGTTGAGGTGGGAAAGATATCTTTAGACGCAAATGTAGACATCAATAAATTCTAGAGCAGTTGTAACTCCAAAGCGATAGATACCTTCTCAGTTTTTGGGCACTGTTGGAGCCAACATTCCAATAGACAGGTATTGGACAAGAGTTTGACATTAAAATATTGGGGCAAATCATCACCCAATGACCAACGTGAGCATTCTTAGTTCTTAGAAGCCGACGTTCCAATAGGAAGATCAGCATTAGACTAGAGTTTGACAAAAGATTCTACGAGTTCCCCCTAGTCTTCTTAAGATATCGACGTCGAGAAACTCGTCAGAAGAATGCAGCATGTCTCCGCCAGATCTTAAGTGAATGCAGAACATGGGGAGAACACCACTAGAGGTAATAATTGTTTTCTTTTTCTGTTTCTGTTTACTCAATTTTTAAAAACGATACCTATGTATAAACTATTTGTGAAAACTATTTTGGCAAATGTGAAGTTTAATTGGTAACTCTATATGTGTTATAGAATGCTGTTTGTTTTCCTAACAATAAAATAAAATAAAAATAAAATAAAATTGCCGGTTTAGTAGCTAAGTATGTTTCTGGATTCAGGAGTTGGGGGGGGGCAACGTTTGTAAGTAAGGGAACAACATTCGTCTACTCACATTGAGAGGCAGCGCGAAGTAGGTATCGAAGCATATGAGCAGCACGAAGATGCCGGTGATGAAGTAGTATATGGCCGACGTTCGTCTTGAGTCGAACAGCTCAGCCGACCACGATAGGAACACCACCAGCGTGCCGCAGATATTGGAGCCAAGTACTACGGCGCCCGTGTAAGTTTGGGCCAATATTCCAAAGGTTGGAACCAAGTTTCTAACAGGCAAATCGTTATTGGACAAGGGGTTGGCAAAAGATTGTGACAAATCATCGACCAACTGCGTAGAATCTTGGGGAAAATGGGACACTTACGTTGAGAGGCAGCGCGAAGTAAGTATCGAAGCATATCAGCAGTACGAAGATGCCGGTGATGAAGTAGTATATGGCCGACGTTCGTCTTGAGTCGAACAGCTCAGCTGACCACGATAGGAACACCACCAGCGTGCCGCAGATGTTTGAGCCAAGTACTACGGCTCCCGTGTAAGTTTGGGCCAATAGTCCAATGTTGGAACCAAGTCTCTAATAGGCAATTCGGTATAGGACAAGAGGTTGGCCAAAGATTACGACAAATCATCGACCAACCCCTTAGAATCTTGGGGAAAATGGTACACTTACGTTGAGAGGCAGCGCGAAGTAAGTATCGAAGCATATGAGCAGCACGAAGATGCCGGTGATGAAGTAGTATATGGCCGACGTTCGTCTTGAGTCGAACAGCTCAGCTGACCACGATAGGAACACCACTAGTGTGCCGCAGATGTTTGAGCCAAGTACCACGGCTCCCGTGTATTTGACGGGCAGACGCGCGGCGACGCCGTAGACAGAGTTTTGGAAGATCGCGTTGCAGGCTGTAAATGAAAATAAAAATGTTAAAAACACTACTAGTTATAGGCATTTACATTATTGTGAATCTTATTCCCTAGTGTTAAGATCGAAAAATAACCACCGCTATTGAAGAGAGAAACGCGCGGTGACTTCGTCATACGAGTTTTGGAAGATCGACCATGCATGTGAGAAAAGAATATTAACACTGGTAAATTAATTACTCTAAAGCCTGGTCCGTGAGCACGTAGAATCCCGTCCAATGACCCCAAGCTACCCATCCTTATCGCTCGCGCGTAATTATATTGCTGTCGCGACTGTGCGACGCGCGCCCGCAGTGATTGTGTGAGCGCGACAGCAACATAATTACGTGCGAGCGACAAGGATGGGCAGCTTGGGGTCATTGGACGGGATTCTACGTGCTCACGGACCACGCTTTACTATTTTGATTCTTATTTACTCAGTCTTAAGATACAATGACAATAAAATCAGAATACAATAGAAATTGTAGCAAATCTTAGGTGCACACAAATCCATAGCAGGTCGTGCGTGTGTTTTAGAGAGCTTTAATCTACCCACTTTTAAATAATGTGGCAACACCAATTTGTGATGAAACCACTGCGTTGGGTAGTGGGTGTGAAAACAAGCGAGAATCTATATTAATATCAATGTATGAGGCATTTAAACCCCTTTAACACTTGGAATGTAAAAAGGCTGATAAAGGTCAATCAACCGGTAGTTACCAATCTATCTCATCTATCAACATTGTGAAATCAAAGTGTGATTTAGTCGATGATAAATAAAAACCTACTACTCACCATTCATACCACCACAAGGTGGACCGACGACATCATAAAGGTAGCAGGAAGGCGCTGGACGCAGGCCAGGCTACCAATCGATCAACATGGAAATCATTGGGGGAGGCCTATGTTCAGCAGTAGACGTCCTATGGCTAAAATGATGATGATGATGACTCACCATTCATAACAAAGACAGATATCATGGTGAACCAGAAGAAAGCCACGGGCCACTCCGAGCTGTCTACCATGGCCAAGATGACGGTCATCACGAAGATAGTCACCTCGATCATCAGCTACGTCATCAGCCAAGTTAAATACAAACGAGCCATAGAAACCTTACTACTCACCTGACGAAGACAGATATCATGGTGAACCAGAACAAAGCCACGGGCCACTCCGAGCTGTCTACCATGGCCAAGATGACGGTCATCACGAAGATAGTCACCTCGATCATCAGCTACGTCATCAGCCAATTTAAATACAAACGAGCCATAGAAACCTTACTACTCACCATTCATGACGAAGACAGATATCATGGTGAACCAGAAGAAAGCCACGGGCCACTCCGAGCTGTCCACCATGGCCAAGATGACGGTCATCACGAAGATGGCCACCTCAATCACCAGCTACGTCATCAGCCAACTTATGTACAAGCTAGACCCATAAGAAACCTTTGTTCGTTTCAGCCAAGTGATGTCTACTGCTGGACTAAGACGTCCCCCAAGGATTTCCACAACAACCGGTCCTGCGCCGCCCGCATCCAGGCACTTCCCGCGACCTTCCCCTGATCGTCGGTCCACCTAATGGGGGGCCTGCCCACACGTCTTCCGGCCCGTGGTGGCCTCTCGAATATTTTTCTGCAATAACAAACCTTCTACTAACCATTCATGACAAAGACAGATATCATGGTGAACCAGAAGAAAGCCACGGGCCACTCCGAGCTGTCCACCATGGCCAAGATGACGGTCATCACGAAGATGGCCACTTCAATCATCAGCGACCATACGATACGCGTCGTCAGGTTGCCGCTGTGGAAAGATGGAATGTTCGTTTTATATTGTGAATCGGAGTTTGAACTCAATTTCTTAGATGGAGAGTGTTAAGAGGTCTTAGATGAAGCACGCTTACTTTACTACTTTGGTGATAAATTAGTTTTTAAAGCAGTATTGGGCGCACTAGTCCAGTCATTATAGTAAGTTCACCTCGGAATTCGAGATACCCAGCTGTAAGTCTGTAAATACGTGTATATTGACACCCTAAAAGTTGTCTCAAAACCTACATATGGTAGGGTGTAAGCAACTATTAAATTTCAAGGTCAACGGTCACAAAAATCGGTTTTTTGCGCTTTTTTTAGAAATATCTCATTTCCTGTGGGTTTTTGCTATTTGTATTTATTATCAATATTGTAGAATACTAAATTCTCTACAAATTTTGTTTAAAAACTTTTTTTATACGGTGAACCGTTTTCGAGATAGAGGGCGGAGAGCGCGCGGTCACTGCATCACTTCAGGTCTACTTAAGCGGTTTAGATTTTTCATACAAAAGGATTTTCCCGCTAATTCCTGTGGGAATTTCGGGAATTCCTTGTTGTAACTAAGCTTTGAGTTTACTAAGGTACCTACATGCCAAATTTCAAGCGTCTAACTTCCGTTAAGCGTTTAGATTTTTCATACAAAAGGATTTTCCCGCTAATTCCTGTTCTAAAACTTTATTTTGAAAACGTTAAAGTATTTCTACATTTGCGAGGCTAAGTCGATGCCATGTCTACATGGGTTTTAGGATCCATTTGTATATAGTTTGTTCTCCAAGCTTCTTCTGTCCAGTACCTATTGCATATCACGAATCATAATCATTTATTTATTGCTTCATAAGTGTACATAGGTGGTGATCTTAAACTTAGTCTCAACTTATGACCCTGTAAGGGTGTTTTTTCTATGCATAACAAAGCAGGTAGGATGCAGTTTAGGATGGTACAAAGTGCCTATACACTCTTGCCTTGAAAAGTCCCATTGTCTGTTGATTGGTTCTCTTTTGTTCTTAATGTGATCACGCCAGGTAAGCGTTACTGATGGAAAATCTCATCTTTTTAGGGCAAAGGTATTATGGATAGATGTTAATGGTATTATATTAGAATTAATTAATGATTTAAGATGTTAATATCAATTATACTAATAGTAAAAATAAATATCTGGTACGAGACATGTTTCATGCAGGGGTGACATCTCCTGGCCATCAGAAAGCCCCGATTTCACTCCAGGTAACTTCTTTTTGTAGGGTCACGTTAGGGGTTAAAATATACTCTTAAATCCAACAACCATGCAGCAACTGAAGCTGAACATTCGTCATGAAATCGAATCTATTTCGAGGTTACTCTAACGAAAGTTTTTTAAAATTTTGATTGTCAGATTGGAAGAAAAGTCCGTACAGTTGTTATGCGAAAGTCTAGGGAATTAGCGGGAAAATCCTTTTGTATGAAAAACCTAAACCGCTTAAGTTGACCTGAAGTGATGCAGTGACCGCGCGCTCTCCGCCCTCTATCTCGAAAACGGTTCACCGTATAAAAAAATTTTTTAAACAAAATTTGTAGAGAATTTAGTATTCTACAATATTGATAATAAATACAAATAGCAAAAAACCCATAGGAAATGAGATATTTCCAAAAAAAGCGCAAAAAACCGATTTTTGTGACCTTTGACCTTAAAATTTAATAGTTGCTTACACCCTACCATATGTAGGTTTTGAGACAACTTTTAGGGTGTCAATATACAAGTATTTACAGACTTACAGCTGGGTATCTCTAATTCCGAGATTCTTACCTAATTTAAGCTTAAATGACTGGACTACACGGTCTATGGGACGCAAGAACATAATTATTTTAAAGTTCAATTCCCTGGCTATATGCATGTAAGAAAGAAAGAAAAACATTTATTTGGTTCCAACTTAGATCTATTGCATGAAGATGATTAGATAGATAGATAGATAAATCATTTATTTGCATACACTTAACACACATAAAGAGTAAAGTTGCAGCATAACAATAATAAGAAAAGAATAGAATACAGTAGAATACTAGTTATATAAGCATGCATAAAACAAACAAAAGCAGTAACAAGTGGAAGAATACTTCCTGCATGATGTGTGTCGCAGCGATGCAAAAAGCAAAGAGCTCAATGTAAACACTGCCCTGAAAAGGGCAGAACACTGATTTTCAGCTCTTGCTAGGGAATCCGCGAAGCGCACGAAAACGAAATGAACCCTCCCACCATCCGCTATCAGTGATTACAAGATGTTTAAAGACAAAAGGCTTGTGGAGGATGCTATGCTGTTGATCTTGGACAAAGCCTTCAATAATGCTCTGAATCTTATATTCGCTCGCAAGCTTTCGATTCTGTAGGTGGGTATAGTCGAGCAAACGATTAAGCAGCTCCTGCTGCATCAATTAATAACAATTTATCGGTATACATAAGAGTAAATAAAATAAGAACAAAAATACTCTTTTTGCAATATTACTAAGCCAAGAAAACTGGAGTCATGCCAGAAATCATTGCTAATTAATGAAACGAAACACTCAGGAGCATGATTCAGAAACTGATTGTTGTTCTGTTTTCCGTTTATTTGTAAATGCATTACAATAGTTTCAAATTGCAATTTCCATTTCCCACTTTCTATACAATGTTCGTGTTTTAGCGTCGTAAACGTAAACTGCAGCGTTTATTATAATTACTTGTAACTTAGTCATAATGCACAAAAGGGAACAATGTTTTACGAAACATGTAAGCAATTTCCGTGGCACACTGACATACATTTTTATGGGTTAGTTGGGATTATTTGAGTGATTCCTCCCTAAAGCCTGGTCCGTGAGCACGTAGAATTTTGTCCAATGATCCCAAGCTACCCATCCTTATCGCTCGCGCCTAATTTTATTGCTGTCGCGACTGTGCGACGGGCGCCCGCAGTGAGTGTGCGAGCGCGACAGCAACATAATTACGCGCGAGCGATAAGGATGGGTAGCTTGGGGTCATTGGACAAAATTCCACGTGCTCACGGACCAGGCTTTATCTACTTTAGTTTATCGAGATTTAGATATTATCTTTTAATTAACATATCTATAATTCTAGCGCTTAACTCAGTGCCAGAGGTATGTGAGCGCCACGGGAGGGGTATGACATATTATGACGTAACAGAGATAAAAATCTGAAAATCTAGTCTCACTGATGTTAGACGTCTCAAAAACTCTCCCGTGCCGCTTCCATACCTCAGGCACTGACTGATTTAAGAATAAGAATACTTTATTCAGCATAGAAAAATAAAATAAAAATACAGTACATATTAAACATTAAACTGCAAGCTATGCTGAAGAGGCGTCCGCTCAGCTATATTCGCGACATAACAAGCGCCATGTCGAGAAGCTGGTTTTCAGCGGGAATTGCGCGCACTCTTGACCGGGACCTTATTGAGGCTACCAGTCAAGAAGGCGCGCAACATTTAAGCGATAGACCTATAGTTGGAATTACACATTTGAACCTTGTGAGTGGTTTTTGTTTGTCTACCCTTCTCCGAGATTTTGTTAGACCTACCAAAATCAATATAAAATACGTAGTAGCTTTCTAGTCATCTTTTTTGTAGTTTTGTAGCAAAACTTAGGTGCACACAAACCCAGTGGCGGATTGGCGTGTGTTTTAGTAAGCTATGATATACCCACTTTAAAGTGCGATTATGTCATTTTAGTTCATATCGCTGCGTTGGAAGTGGGAAAAAGTGTACATAACTAGCGGCCGCCCTATATTTCGCGTGGACCCCTTAGGGGTGGAATTTCGTAAAATCCGTTCTTAGCGGATGTGTTCTTCTCCCTATAAGGAACCTACCTGCCAAATTTGAAGTTTTTAGGTATTATAGTTTCTGAGATTTCGTGATGAGTGAGTCAGTGACTATGATTATGTACTCGGGTAGACAACTTGTAATTCACGAAGTAGTCTATAAGAAACTAGATCCTACGTAGTTTCTTTTCGGAATACGCATTGGTAGGTACGTACAAAAGAACGCCGGAACGAAGCGATTTCGGAATTAAAACTGTCACAGCATAATATTACATTGTCTAAGGAGGCAATTTTCGAGTTATCGATAGTCACACAGCACATAATTCACCTAATAGCCGCAAAGATGTTTATCCAATTGAGACAGTTCGGTATCTGAGAAGCCCAGCCCACATACGCCTGCGCCCCGATTGCGCTAAATATTTTCAACTGCAACGCAACTGGACGACGAACGAAAATCAGCTGTGTGCACAAATTCGTATCGCGATGATCGCTTTGACACCTAGTTCAAACGATGCTGTAACGGAACGCAACTGTGCCTCTTGAGTAAAAGCTGACAGAAAGCTACTTATCTCACACGCAATTCAAACGCTTCACGAACATTTGTTGTGTTTTAGTAATTTTAGTTTAAAAAATAAGGTGTTCAGACTTTTAATGAAAAGTTCATAAATCCATTGTTTGCGCGTTAACTTTACCGCGATACCGAATCGCACATCAGCTAGAATGAATATGGAGTGTAACTGGAGTGTAGACGGGAGATGAAACGCGAATGAAATGCAAAACATTACAAATTAGCGCAATCGGGGCCCAGGTATTATTTAACTTTTACTTCACGAAGTACTTAGTCATTAAGAACCTTACGCAGTTTCTTCGCTCTTTGAAGCGATACCGAATAATATGTTTTTGTACGAGCAAAATAACGCCTGATCGAAGCGATTTCGGAATCAAAACTGTCACGTTTGTTACTACTCTAGAAAAGCAGATTTACCGTTAAATATTATACATATTTGGGCTATAAGTAACTCACCTAATCGGCGCAAATATGTTGATCCAATTGAACAGGCAGTTCGGTATCTGAGCGGCCCAGCCCACATACGCCAAGTAATGCTCCGCATAGTCCGGGGCATTGGCCAGCTTGTACTTCACGAAGTAATCCTTGGCAGTAATAAACATGTTCCAAGCTATGAGGGTGCCGAGGCCGTGGATGACCAGGATGATATAGATCAAGTTCCATCTGTCTTTCGGCGGTACCAGGTCCATTGCGATTCCTGGAAAGATAATAATGGTATGGTTAGATTTGAGGTTCTGTATCCAAAGAGTGGTAACGACCCCCTATATTTGTTATTATGTATTCTCTTATTTCATCTAAAAATACGACCCCCTATATTTGTTATTATGTATTCTCTCATTTCATCTAAAAATGTATTATCTTTCTTTTCTCTTTTATTTTTTGGTGTTTAAAGGTTTGCCAAACTGAATGCGGTCTGCGGTCAGTTCATACATTATGCGGGCTGCATTTACTTTGATTTGACCGCATTCAGCCAGTGTGATAAATCCTTTTTTGGGGAAGGCTTACATTCAGCAGAGGACCGTAACTTGTTTTTTATAATAATTGTTTATCAATTTTTGGTGCATTTTTTTATTAATTAGGTTACAAATCACCGACACACCACTCTTACATACTTTATTGACTTCCCGGTAATATAAACTCAAGTCTGCTACAATCTATTATTTTAACCCATTCACAGCTATTCTAGAAACTTATTCACATTTTTACACGAATTTTTTCAACACCACACCAACACATATCCACTTCGCACTTCTTTTAAGCAAATACTAGTTTTTAACACAAATCGCCCGATGTTGTAACTGAGCAGTAAATTAGTGAAATTTTCAAGGACTGAATATACCGGCACATCAAACTCAAAACTAGATCTTATTTCAATAGCAATAAATGTGATTTTGCGACGAAAATTTACAGTCTAATATGCTGTACATATCCTTGCGAACTCACGTTTCGACTAACCAAAATAAGGGTGTGGAATGTTATGTGTAATTAAATCTTCATTACGGTCACTGCGGAAAAGGGTATTCGACAAAAACACACTAAAAACTAGGCAATGTTAATTATTTGGAATGTTATCTCCCGGGAAAATAAGTAAGGTATTATCAACTAAGCAACAAGGAATTTATTGAAATAATTTTAAATACCTTAAAAAGAGATTGAAGATAGTTCTTCCCATAGTCACTGGACTGGGCTCTGGAAGCTGTAGATCCTGGCTACACAGGAGTTGCAGCAGTGGGAACGAGAGGTGGGAATAGTCCCGTAGTCTGAACTAAGTAAAGAATGTCATATTTTTATGTCCTAAGCTCATATTCCGCAACCATGGCAACTCTTTAATTTGATCGACATTGTATATTATTTCTTAGGTATAAATAAAGCTAAGTAACTTTTATTGTTTGAGAAGCATGTATACCTCTTTGAGATTACAATGTAACTTATTCATTAAACATCTTTGTTATTACAAGGCTATTCAATATCGCTGCTTTGACACCCATTGCAGTACGTAGTAAAGTAAAGAAATGAATTTTGAATAAGAATAACGTACAAAAGTCTCGTAATAAAATATAAAATAAATAAATAATAGGGTTGGAACATAAATCCTGTACAGAATACCGAACCAGGCATTATCAGTAATAATGACATCAATATTACTGTCATTCCTTCCATTGGTATTGACATTCTAAATTTCCCCACCATATAGGTAAATAGCTTTGGATTACTTTTCTTAATTTCTTCACTTCAATCACTACACTGTCAATAGTAGGTAGTAGTGCCTGAAGGCCCAATCACACTTTTGAGTTTCATTATAAAAAGTTAAGTTTAAAGTTAGTGTCGCAATACTTAGGTGCACACAGACTTATTGAGAAAACCTGCGTGTGTTTTAGTAAAGCGTTTATTTACCCACTTTAGTAAATGTGATAGCAGTATTTTACTGAGATCACTGCGTTGGGAGTGGGATAATATTATAAATAACTTGAAAAAATCCTGCTTAAGGTGGGAATCGAACCCACGACCTTTAGATTTCCGGGCGACTGCTCTTACATCTGAGCTACTTAGACACTGGATGAACCAGTCGAAATTTCAAGTGGTAATACTATAATGGCCAGTGCTACTCTTAACGCTAAGAATTTTTTATACAACTATTGGTTAATATTGTTTTGGCTATAAATAGTAACCTAACCATTCATACATTGGAAAAAAATAAAAACATCGTTATTATGATAACCTTTTAGTGTCAGTTGTGTTTCAACAAGGAGATATAGACTTTAGTGCGTAGTTATAAAGCTTAAAATAGCTTGTGTGTGTATTCAATAAATATAAGTGTGATAATGAAGTGTAATAATTAGCATTTACCTACTCGACAGATACTCGTATTTTAATTATAATTAAAACTTATGTAATAACTCAAATAAAGAATGTTTAAAGGAACCAGTGATAAAAACGGGTCTAATCCTACCACTCTTTCCCACCACTGCAACTCTTGGGAAGCTTGGTCTCCAATGAAAACCAACCAGTGAAGGTTGAGCAGTCCCAGGGGATAGTTTGGACAGAAAAGACTAAGGCCGAGTTGCACCACCTAACTTTAACGGTAACTATGACGATAACCGGTGCTTTTTGTATGGAGTTTAACAGATTTTTGACGTTTCTCAAAGTTAAAGTAAGATGGTACAACCCACCCTTAGTAAAAGTAACACCCTGTATAGTTTTAACTGAGATTTCTAGTGCAATCAAATCTAGACTATGTAAAACAGTAAAAAGTCCGAATCAGACTAACTTCACGGTATCTAGAATTGGGGTCAACGAACCCGCTAGATAAATGGCGATAGAACAATGCACGCAATTGCAATTTGAAGCAACTTAAGACATTGTATTAAAAACATTCTGCTAAGCATTTTGCGAACTGAGTGTCATAAAATTGTTGAATTATTTAAGAGTATCCTTCTGTTGTTCCTACTGCAAGCCTTGGTTTTCCATATTTATCTTAACATGTTATCAAGTCTCAGTTTAGAATCCAAGGAACTGGAATCCATTCGACTTCAGAAAAATTGAACATAACTCAAATTCCAATCTGAGAAAAGTGTGAATTAACTAGCGTAAAAAATCTGATAATGATCAACATAATGCCACCTGGAGGGAAAGTACTCTTAATATTGTAGATAGAAAAAAATTCTCAAAGAAAACATTCCTTTATTTTTGAAAACAAATAGAACTGCATTCAAAGATTTCCAAGAAATATTTGCCACACCCGGGAACCGAACAAACTAAAATCTGTTAAAAATTACACCCTGTATTTTTATTGCATCGATCGTTAGGGTCAAGTATAAGGATGAAATCTCTCTAACAAACTTGATAAATGAAATGAAAGGAAATTCATAAAAATAATCTTAAATTATTTTAATTATGTAGCTACAGAAATTGTATGGTATGGTAATGAATTTTCGAAAAAATTTCGAAAATCTATGAATGCAGTTCTTTCTTTTCAAAAATAAAGGAATGTTTTCTTTCAGTAAAATTTTCTATCTGCAGTATTATGAGTACTTTCCCTCCAGGTGGCATTACAAAATTCCACCCTGTATACACGGTCATTAAAGCAACCTATCAGGGATTCCGAAGGAGACCATCACATTTTTGGAACGGGATGTCTTTAGAATGACCATGTTTCAATACAGAAAACTAAAACAATTCTTATTTCTTGCAATCATAGCTGTTATTTACATGACACACTGCCCGTATATGATTGCACAATTTGCATACGGAACACCAAAGGCTTGTGGTGGCGTTTAATTACCACTATAGCACGTCCACAGCATATTAACCATAACAATGGCGTTTATTTTATGCTAATCCATTCGCGATAAGGGATGAGTATGATGTTAAAGTGACCACTTGCTTTTATCACGGTAAAATAACTCAAAATTTTTTCAAATAAGGTTCATTTTGCTTTGAAAAAATTAAGCAAAAATCGTGTTGCGCACTCTTCATAATCGCTCCAAGGATACTTGATGATAACATCAAGGATACAGCTTTTATTTGATAATAAAAGCTAATATTCATATTAAATTACGCGTGAGGGTAATCGGATTATGAAACCGAGTGTAATATGGCTTATCCCAAAATTTGACATCTTTCGGGTGCTGTGAGTGTGAATTTTCCCGGGTCAAACTTCTGCCAAAATTCTTTATACATACATGACACGATCCGTTTTCGTCTAAATCTGCTGAACAGTTCCATTTTCTAGTTTCTATTTTATTTGTTAATTTCTAATTTCCCTGTTCCTTGTTGGAAGCACTTGGAAGTGTGACTAAGTTTGTCACGCTAAAATAAAAATGTTCTCAACACTGGTCCATATACTTGTCCCACATAACTGTCCCGAATGAATGGTATTTGACAGCCAACAGAGTGAGAATGAATACATATAATATGATAGATGTTCCGTATTTTTCAGGTCCGGAAAAATCTAATTAGGTACCTACTTGACCAATAGGGCCGGGATGCGCGCCACGATAAAACTTTATCTAGGCATATTATCGATTATGGGTGATATGCCCATGCATTTTTGTCTAAATAGTCGAGTAGATTTTATCACAGTGCAAATCCTAGCCCGGGAGAATAGTTCGAAAAAGAAGAGTAGCATGAAATGAGACCATAGTATATGATAGAGCATTGGTTCCCAAAGTAAGGGGCGTGCCCCCCAGGGGAGGCGCAAAGACCGAATGCATTCGAAATTGCTCGATACGACCATTATATAATCTTGACTGGAGGAGGGGGGGCGCGGAAATTTTCTATGGTTAAAAGGGGGCGCGTCTCAAATAAGTTTGGGAACCAATGCCGTAGAGGTATGATTGAACAAGATGCTCTTGCAACTCAATACCAAAGATAATAATTCGATACGCCACAGTATTGCTTACGATTAGCCACAAATGCCCACAACACAGGTCGAGCAATCAACTTCAATCGCGGAATGGGTCCGGAAAATCTCAATAAACTTAGACATGCCTATGATAGATCGTTCTGTAGGCAGTGACCGTAATGAATGCTGTTATGGAAATGTGATAGTCTTTGTTACTGCCCTTAGGTCTTTTTCCCCCTATTTCTTCTTCTTCTTTTCGTGTCGACAACAAACCTACACAGTGTCAGCCCAAAACTCCGCCACAAGAGTGGCGTTGTCAGTAGCACTCATCAAATCCTCCTGAGTGCAGTTGCTTGGACACTCAGGGCATGACATCAGGTGCTTCATCGACTGGGGAACAAAACCGCACCTGCACTCCCCCTATTGATATTATAAATTACGGACTGATGAAAACATTGTTACATAAATCAGGAATGTGTCTTACCAAACGCATTGAGTATAGTTTGGCTACTTTGGATGTCACGAACTATTTGACGCTGACTATACATTTGCTGCTCTGTATTCGTGACTCGTGTACACAGTCAACAGCACATTAAACTATGTATTTTGTTGCAAAACAGCACCTTATCAACTATACGACGCCGCAGTGTCAATAATACCGTCAAATCCAGGAGTTGAAGGGTCTCCTTTGATTTTACCTTGACCGTGCGAGACCACTAGAACCTAGTTAGTTAACGACAAATTCTTTTCTTTTCTTCGCTATTTCGAACTGGATTATAACCAAAATTAGGCTATACTCAACCCTATATAGTTTGTATTAAGTATCACGGCACATTACCTTTCAAATTGAGCGTTTCATTTGTACCTTGACAGGGACCTATTTAGCTAGTCAGGAACCTAGTTAGTTAACGGCAAATTCTTTTCTTTTCTTCGCTATTTCGAACTGGATTATGACCAAAATCAGTCTATAATCAACCCTACACAGCTTATATTAAGTATCACGGCACATTACCTTTCAAGTTGAGCGTGTCATTGGGCAGGTTGGAACCCTCCCACGCGGGCGTCAGCTTCACCGGCTCGTTGCGGAGGAACGGCGCCTTCTCGCCCTCCAGCTCGACCCAGCCTGGAAAGAATAATGTACTTTAAGCATTTGGAATAGGGCTCAGAATTGCTCTTTCAAATTTTCGTGTTCTCGTCCCCGGCTGGAAAGGATAGTGTATCTTGAGCATTTGGGATAGAGTTCAGATTTGCTTTTGAATGTACGTGGCTAGGTTTTTGAACGACATTGAAAACTATAAATATGGTCTTCGAAATTATTTGTGTCAATAACAGTGGCTATAGATTTGCTGGTCAGCTTCGGATATGGTTTCCTGGTCAGCTCAGTGAAATCAAATAAAGTAGCTTATGAAATTTTACTTATTCAGCATGACACACTGGGTGCGGTCTGCGTTCAGGTCAAATGAACGCAACCAGTCAGTTTTCGTTCTCTGCTCGTGCCCGCACTGTCAGATCTCATCAATATAAAATGTATAGTATAGACCAAACCAACATATTGTTCATACATGATGTGGGCAGCGTTCACTTTGACCTGACCGCAGACCGTAAAACGCATTCAGTGTGGCAAATCTTCTCTTCTACTACTATACCATAGCCCCCTTATTAATAAAAAGTTATACCCGGAATAATCACTGAATGAATATGCTCTCCAAATATTGGACTCATATTTTCTCCTAAGAACAAGCATTCAACTCATTAAAAATTATATCCTACCACAAAGACCTTCATAACTCATCACGACATTTAATTACCGCATCCAATCTGGTAAAGAATTTTGACTACAGACCCTCAGATAATTGGAACGCCAAAACAATGCTTATGAGCCAAGTCGCATAGTTCCATCCTTTATGGCCAAATCAATGGCGGAGGCATATACGCTTGTGTCCTCATGTGACGCAGACAATGGTAGTGTCAAGTGACTGGGTAGGTAATTGCTTTAAAATTGACGATAACAATTTGGTATGCGGTTAAAAAGTGGATTGCCTCGGAAACTTTGTTTCGTTTCGTGTGCTTAAAGCGGCTTTAAGCAAACCTAAAAATACATTGTGGTTTTACTGAATGGAGATGAGTCATCAAAAACGACTGAATAAAACTGGTCAGGATCAACCCAATAGTGGTTCAACTGGTGTCGAGTCTATACAGCTTGACCGCCAATCGATGTGGTAGGTTGTTACATCCAGTTTTCAGTTTATTTTAGCCGTTAAACTGACTGAATAAACCATAATCTACTGCCAACAGGAAGTAGGAAATATATTTTCAATTACAAGTCGCATAAAATGAAAGCTCAAACATAATTCTGGACAGAATAAGAGTTAAAAACTGAAGAAGTACTTTTAAGACGAACACGCACATGAAATCAAAGGCAGAAAACAGCCTCCTGGACTTTAAAGTTCAGAAAGGCCTAGAGAGAATCTGATTTGTTTAGAAGACAACAAAATAACTAGTTGTAAAAGAAGGAACTTACCCCTTTCTTTTCCAATAAAACCACCACGGATATCAACACCGACCGTTTCACAGGTAACTAAGAGAAATGCATCTCCGCACATAAGTTAACCGTGTTCCTTGGTTGATCAGTCTCGATTAACTTTTGCACATCACGAGCTAGTGATGTGCTACAAGTGTTTATTGCATTTTTACACCTGACCACGTATACTCCGCTCCAGTGGACCGAGACTCTCACCTGCTTANAGGCTACCGGTCAAGAAGGCGCGCAACATTTAAGCGATAGACCTATAATAGTTGGAATTACATATTAAAATTTGAACCTTGTGAGTGGTTTTTGTTTGTCTACCCTTCTCCGAGATTTTGTTAGACCTACCTAAATCAATATAAAATACGTAGTAGCTTTCTAGTCATTTGGTATAGTCTTTTTTGTAGTTTTGTAGCAAAACTTAGGTGCACACAAACCCAGTGGCGGATTGGCGTGTGTTTTAGTAAGCTATGATATACCCACTTTAAAGTGCGATTATGTCATTTTAGTTCATATCGCTGCGTTGGAAGTGGGAAAAAGTGTACATAACTAGCGGCCGCCCTATATTTCGCGTGGACCCCTTAGGGGTGGAATTTCGTAAAATCCGTTCTTAGCGGATGTGTTCTTCACCCTATAAAGAACCTACCTGCCAAATTCTTTTGTAGGTGTTATAGTTTCTGAGATTTCGTGATTAGTGAGTCAGTGACTATGATTATGTACTCGGGAAGCCAACTTGTAATTTATTCACGAAGTAGTCTATCAGATACTAGGTATACAAAAGAACGCCGGAACGAAACGATTTCGGAATTAAAACTGTCACAGCATGTTACTTTGTCTAAGGAGGCAATTTTCGAGTTATCGATAGTTACACACCACGACAGCACATAGCTCACCTAATAGCCGCAAAGATGTTTATCCAATTGAACAGGCAGTTCGGTATCTGAGAAGCCCAGCCCACATACGCCTGCGTCCCGATTGCGCTAAATATTTTCAACTGCAACGCAACTGGACGACGAACGAAAATTAGCTGTTTGGACAAATTCTTATCTTATCGCGGTGGTCGCTTTGACAGCTAGTTCAAACGATGTTGTAACGTAAACGGAACGCAACTGGCGCCTCTGAGAAAAGCTGACAGAAAGCTACTTTATCTCACACGCAAGTCAAACGCTTAACCAACATTTGCAGTGTTTTAGTAATTTTAGTTTCAAAAATCAGGTGCATAAATCCTTTGTTTGCGGGTGAACTTTACCGCGATACCGAAGTCCACATCAGCTAGAATGAAAATGGAGTGTGACTGGAGTGTAGACTGGAGATGAAACGAGATTGAAATGCGAGACATTACAAATTAGCGCATTCGGGGCCCAGGTATTGTTGAACTTTTACTTCACGAAGTACTTAGTACTTTGAAGCGATACCGAATAATATGTTTTTGTACGAGCAAAATAACGCCTGATCGAAGCGATTTCGGAATCAAAACTGTCACGTTTGTTACTAGACTAGAAAAGCAGATTTACCGTTAAATATTATACTTATTTTGGCTATAGCTCACCTAATCGGCGCAAATATGTTGATCCAATTGAACAGGCAGTTCGGTATCTGAGCGGCCCAGCCCACATACGCCAAGTAATGCTCCGCGTAGTCCGGAGCGTTGGCCAGCTTGTACTTCACGAAGTAATCCTTGGCAGTGATAAACATGTTCCACGCTATGAGGGTGCCCAGGCCGTGTATGACCAGGATGATATAGATCAAGTTCCATCTGTCTTTCGGCGGTACCAGGTCCATTGCGATTCCTGGAAAGATAAAATGAAAGATCCGTTCTGAGGTTCTGTATCTGAAGAGTAGCAACCACACCCTATTATAGATTTTATTATTTTATTCAGTAGATGACTGAACTAGTTCATAAGAAAGAAAGAAAAAGTATGTATTTGATACAGGTACATCCTTTCATAAAATATATTGCTTGGTCAGCACTTCAGCGTTACATTGTTTTTGGCAGCTTAATTATTTTTCTTTTAAAATTAATCAGGTTACTGCGTGTATAACCCACCACTATCGTCTATGACATACTTTATTGACTTCTTAATATGTTAACTCATTTCTGCTACAGTATTCTATTATTTTCAACACAATCACAGCAATTCACATTTTTATAAGTACGAATTTTTCAACACCACACCAACACATATCCAGTTCGCACTTCTTTTAAGCAAATACTAGTTTTTAACACAAATCGCCCGATGTTGTAATAACTGAGCAGTAAATTAGTGAAATTTTCAAGGACCCTTTATAAACCGCCACATCAAACTTAACACAGACCTTATATCAGTAGCAATAAATGTGATTTTGCAACGAAAATTTACAGTCTAATATGCTGTACATATCCTTGCGAACTCACATTTCGACTAACCAAAATAAGGGTGTGGAATGTTATGTGTAATTAAATCCTCATTACGGTCACTGCGGAAAAGGGTATTCGTCAAAAACACACTAAAAACTAGGCAATGTTAATTATTTTGAATGTTATCTCATGGTCAAATAGTAAGATATTATCAACAAGGCAACAAGGAATTTATTGAAATAATTTTAAATACCTTAAAAAGAGATTGAAGACAGTTTTTCCCAGTCACTAGACTGGGCTCTGGAAGCTGTAGATCCTGGCTACACAGGAGTTGCAGCGGTGGGAACGAGAGGTGGGAATAGTGCCGTAGACTAGACTAAGTAAAGAAAGTCATCTTTCTATATCCTAAGGTCATAACCCGCAACCATGGCAACTCTTTCATTTAATCGACGTTGTATATTATTTCTTAGGTATAAAGCTAGCTACTTTTATTGTTTGAGAAGCATGTATACCTCTTTGAGATTACAATGTAACTTATTAATTATTAACATCTTTGTTATTACAATAGTATTCAATATCGCTGCTTTGACACCCATTGTAGTACGTATTAAAGTAAAGAAATGAATTTTGAATAAGAATAACGTACTAAAGTCCCGAAATAAAATATAAAATAGATAAAAAATAGGGTTGGAACATAAATCCTGTACAGAATACCGAACTAGGCACTATTAATAATGAAATTACATTGTAAAAAGAAAAAATAAGAAAAAAATAATAATAAAGAAAAATAGTGACCGACCGAATATTCGTTTTCGTTTTCGTTTTCGGCCATTTTCGGCCATTTTCGGCCAAAAAATGGTCATTCGGCCATATTTTCGTTTTCGGCCAAAAACCAGCCGAAGCTTCGGTCAAACCGAATATCAGAAATACGTGAATAAGATGGTGACATTTATCGTTCCGATATCTTCGGGAGTGAATCTGGTGCACTCATGGTTCCAATCAGACTTGAACGGACGCGGTATTGTCACACTCTTTTGAAGTTGTGAAGTGAGGTTACGTTGTAAAGGGTGTCCAGCTAGAATTTTCCAGGTTCGGCTGTGAGAGTGCCTATAGTAAAACGGGCATCATTTAAAAGACATTGCATATAAAAAATTAAAATCCGCATTTTTAAACTCCAGTTTGCATTAGTAATAAATAATCATTTTTGAAGTTGAAAAATTCCCACTGGACACCCTTTATTTCTTCTTCACTTCCCAAT